CTGTCATGCTTATACACAGACAGATGACTCTGTGAATTCACTCAACATTGTCTGAAGCAGTTTTTCCAAAGAAAGTACCTCTTCTTTTTCATTCTTCAGGCAGTTCTGCAAACTTTTCACTTTCTGCTGTAGCTGCCGTTCTTTCTCAAGGAGACCTGTGTTTTCTCTTTTGGAAAGTTCAAGCTGCTCCTATAATAACAGAATAACAAGGACACTGTGCTGAAATGAACACTTATCAAATACAAATTCAACACAAGAAAATACAGTCAGTAGTGACAAGAAGAAGCAGGACTCTCAAAAGCAGGTGTGTGCTTCAAGGTTATTTGAGCTATAATTCATCCTTTTTCTTGGTAGCATCTATTGCAGGCTGGATTACTAAAGGCTTTATCTGCGTTTCTGTATTTGAATACAATATTAATATGAGGGAATCACTGGGTATAAATGTTACTGTACCTTTAAACGAGTGCTGGTGAGCTGCAGGTAGTCCACATTGCTGCTGGACTTTAGCTGCTCCACTTCCATGTTTTCCAGGTTTCGGACGCCCCTGCGATGCAGCTGAATCAGGTCATACATGCAATTTAGCACTGCCACAACATTTAGGTCTGAGCTGTCGGCCAACTCTGTCCAAACTGGTGGGAGGCCAAGAGATGACACCTCCTGTAAAAGCGAGAGTATAGTTGAAAAGAAAAAAATGGAGCAACTGAAACATTTTGAATCAGTGCTGTCTGAGGGTAGATTTAAACTCTACATTTCAGTACTTACAGTATACATTCTATATATACAAAAATCAGAAAACAAGCCTTTTCATCAGGTTTTAAATGGTTTATTTTGATTATTTTTAGGCTTTTCTCAACCAGATAAATGGTCCCCAGCCAGATCAAACTGAGGAGACTGCAGTCATATCGTACATGTCTCAAACCACTAGGCATGCACGTTTCCAAATCACCATTTGTACTAATACTACATCACAGACACGTATAAGTTTACCAACCTGATTGATGTGTGATAGACATTCTTGCACATTGTGCTCTGTGCAGAAGGTACTGAGCACGTAGGAGTTTCTGTGAACTGGCAGCGATGATTGGCTAAGCTGCCTCAAGGGGGATGTTCTACATTCAGCGGAGTTGCCGTGAATGTCCTTGACTTCAGGGAGAAAAATGTCTGTCAGATATATACATTACATAGGCCTATGCTAATTTGTTAATGCTTCACAAGGAAAGGAAAACACTTCATATAAAAATGTTAAAATGACTTGAGGTTACTCTTAGCACAAAAACTGAGATTAGCATTCACCTGCAAACAACTACTCAAGACACCAAACTGTACCGTTGTGCTTCAGTTAATCTGACTAATGAGGATGCCAACATAAACCCAAAATCAAATTACAAAAATTGTACAATGCTCCCCTTTCTTAGCATGAAGAAGTGCTGTATGTTTCTGCCATGTTTATAGCATGTAAATTTTTTCTAATATCTGCAGAACACAACAAATGATAATTCAATATGTCTCATTCATGGTGCACAAGTAGTGGTGTTAAAAGATATGAGAAAACTCACCCGGGGAGGACTCTGGCATTGTTGCAGTGCAGCCTTCAGGCTACAGGTGTGAATCATCTACTACATGTGCAGGGTAGCACAAAGCTCACCACAGGATCCACCTACGCAGTCTGCTCCTGAAATAGAGGGTCAGATTAGCAGCACTCATTCAACACGGCCTGGATTACAAAGCAATGGAACTAAACATGAAGCAGTGGAAACACGCAGCAATCCAAATAACAGAGTGTGAGGACAACAGATCCACCAGGGGTAACTCAATCATCTATCACAGAATACAGACTAAACAGTGAGCACACAGTAATCAGTCTTTCTTTAAAATCCCTTATTAAAATGTATGTTTATTGATTCTTTTACAAATCGTCTTATTGTTAAATTGTTGTTGTTGCTGTTGTTGTATTACAACATAGTCCATGCAGGGTGAGTATTTAACAGGTTACATGCTGGGACCAGGCCGACATCTTATCTCAATGCTCTTATCATCAGCTAATCAGACTAATCCCAGACAGACAGTATGGTGATTTCTCCAGAGCCACGCAATCAGAAAAACAACAGAACCTTTTTCCTTATGTAGGAAAAATGCCAATATCAAAAACAAGATATTCTGAAGTGCATACAGATATTATTTAAAACTTAGAGCATGATTTACAACACTTCATCTCAGGAAAGCAGCTATCAGAGCATTAGCAGAAGCTGCATTTAAATTTTTTATATTTTTCTTGTGAAGAACATGCTGTGCATTTAATTTTTCATACATTTTACTCATGAGAAAGCTGTGACTCGTTGACTCATGGGACCTACCTTTCAGTTTCAGTGATACTTAATCAGTCTGGTGAGACAGATGGCAAACCTACAACCACAAAGCTTAACAAGCCTGGATCCTGCTTAGACTGACTACTCAGCAAGTGTTAACCTTTAACTCATTACTTAAACTTCAATACAGAAACACTATAAAGTCTCCAATATGAAATTTCTAAGTACTTGTCAGCAGTATGGATTTTTAGGTTTGTAGTCCCTCTGGGGGTTAGGGTACTTGATGGGATCATAGGTGACAGTTTAGACTGAACTACATATTCTCAGTTGCCAGTTTTTCAGGTACTATGATGCAGTCAAACATCCCTGCAATAAATCCCACCTTTATAAGGGTATATTTCAGTTATTTATTCAATGTTTAGTCTACACTATATGATTTAAAAGAGGTGGCCAAAATATTAGAAACACCTGTCACTATAACCTAGTATGGTTCAATAGTACCACAAACTACAGTCTCCAAAATGAGAACAAACGAAATATCAACAGCCCTCTAAAACATTTTCAACAGAAACTGAACATTGTAATTGATAAACATGTTTTCATTACAGGGCTGCTGCATTAGTTTTAGCTAGAGTTTCTAATACACTGGCAGCAATGTGTATTTTTGTTTAAGAGAGAGAAAATGTACAGTTTAGTCAAATGTCACATATTCAATCTAATCAATTTTGGGTTACAACTTAAATACTTAAAATTACATTTTAACAACTCTTATAACTGGGGTCAGCCAAAAAATGTTAAAGAATCACTCACATTGATGTGACAAGAGAACTACTTTACTTGCTTTTTAGCCTTTTAAAGAGGAAACGAAGCTAACTGGTGTCACATTATTTTAGCTTTATATGAACTGCACTGTTAGTTCCATACAGAAACCCGTGGAACAGCCTGAAACAAGTTATGTTGTTCGATAATAATGTGTAACCTTGTAAAAGCTAGTCTGGCGTTAACTAGGTACTTCCGGGAGGCTGTTAATTTGACTCAGGTCAAATTATAGTTTGTTAATAACGTTAATAAAATAAAAGAAGGATATGCAGGACCTTTACACGGCAGTCAGTGTTAAACTCACGTTAGCCACCGTTAGTTACCTCAAAACAATCTGTCATTGAAGCCAAACGGGAGGCTAAACAAGTGGACTAGTAACAAGAGCAGACGTGTACAAGGTTTACTATACAAAGAAGTGGATAGCGAAATATTTTGAGTACTTACTTAACGTTGCAGTTTGTGATTTACGTCCAAACTGCTCTTCTATTCACGACACAAGAACAGCCCGTGAAGCCATGTCGGTCCAAATGACAGCACACACCACTGCACGCAAACCAAACGGCATGCTAATTGGCCGACTCGTTGTCTAGCAACCAAACACGGCTCAATATGATTGGCTGTTGTTTGCAGTCTACCCTTGTAGACTCTTGTAAGTGTTTTGATTATCGTTTTAATTATGCCGATGTTTATTTTAATAACCTCTCAAGAGGAATGACAATGGGAAAAGTAACGCGTTTCTCTTAATTTTGAATGAAGAGATTCATGAGTGACTAGATATGTGATATGTGAAAAAAGCTGCTTGATAATGAAGTTTATAATAAAAAAGTAACATTATATTAACATTTAAAGAAAAGGTTCATTTTACATTTGCTGCAGGGGTTGTAGGGCTATTTACTTCTTTTCACTTCAAAAATCAACAATAGATAGATAGATAGATAGATAGATAGATAGATAGATAGATAGATAGATAGATAGATAAGAATGAACAAAATTATAACTTTAAAGTTACTTTAATGCAATTCATGTAATCACTGGATATAAGAACAATACAGTAAAAGAAATCATTGCACTGCACAGTAAGCAACACTTATGAAAAACAAAACTGTACATTCTTCCTCTAGTAAGTAATGAGTAAGGCTTTGTGTATCAAATCTACTCTGCAAGTAAAATTTTGAAAATTCAAAGCAAACTCACAAGAAGCTTTAATGGAAGAGTTTGGTTCCAAATTACTTGTACATTCATAGGTAAATCAAGCTTTTCAGATAGAAAAGGTGTATGATCAGGCATTTATTGTCAGATTACATGTTCTTAGACAAAATGTTTGAAATGTAAGGAATCAGACTATAAAGATGTTTCTTTGTAGAGCAAAAATCTAGTTTATCTGAGTTCACTGAAAAGTTTAATTTACTTATTGTAAGAGAGTTGTTTTAATTTTCAGGCAGTGAATATATCCTTTACTTTTAATTTAATAGGAAACAGAAAAGTGCCTCAGATTGCAAAATACAAAAGGTATAGATGAAAAAAATTAATAATAATGTGGGACCAAAACAGCATTTCCTCAGCTCTGGCATGTTTTCCTGCATATGTTTTTTTGATTCTTCCCAAAAAGTGCAAAACAATAAATAATACATGACTATGTCCTGCACAATCATATTACAAAAAAACAATGTTTTTTTTTTTGTAGATATTGTGCATTTCTTATTATTATCAATGGGATTTCGCTTGTCATCATTACCCCTGGTCACAATAATGGAACTATGATAATGAACAGCACAATAAAACACTAGTATCATCTTGTGAATTTACAGTGCAGTGTGACATCTACATTCACAATAATTTTTCATCTCATAATTTAATCTTATAATATCTGCACTTTTAAGTCTAACTTAATTCACTGGACCCAGTTCAATTTCATAACACCAAGCCTAACCAGTTCATACATTTATTTTCACAATTTAGACTCTAGATTTAGTCACTAACTGGTACTGGGACTCCTCTGGATTCACATGTTCTGAGCAGCGGGTCTGTGTGATCGTCTCTCTTTGCTTCAAGCCACCATGTTGTCATCTCCCCCTTGCCCTGTTGGGTCAAGAAAAAACGAGACAGAGTCATATTGCAAAGCATGTGTCCCTTTGAATTTTAAATAAAGCCATTAGGGTTTGATGGTGGGGGGGCAGAGAGTAGCAGCTGCGGCCACCTCTTTAGCAAGACATCACAAGTGTCAGAACTGCAGCCCTGTTGGGAATAAGGAGAAAACCCCTCCCCCATAATCACACTGGCACTACAAAAAAGATGTCTTAGGTTACAATGTCAATAGAAGCCAGCCGAACTGGATAGTACAATACTTCCCTGGAAAAGAGACTAAATACCAGACACACCCAGTCTACTTTCCCTTGGAGGGAAGTTTTGAATTTCCTGTGGCCTTTTTGAAATCTCATTCTCATAAATCCCTTGTTTTTTGTTCAGTCTGTTTCAAAGATGTCACATCAGGTCAGATTTAATTATCATTGCATATTTGTGGCTTTAAAAAACAACTACCTCCACAACAGTGTATATCAAATAAGGTAGAAAAAGCAATATATACAACTAAGCTAATTGGGTTCAGTTCAAGAGACGTTGTGAATGTATTCAGTGAGATTTGTTTCCAGCGCTGTAAAAGGTCCAGTCACTACAGCAACCACCATGACCATGGCTAGGAATGTGCTGAGCATAACTCTCTGTGCAGTGGACTGTATGGGGAAGTATGTTTTCCCCACGAGAATGCAAACTAAAGTTAAACAACTGCTACAGGAAGATCAATATACATTTCCTGTCCTGATAGTGCTGGGTTTGTCAATCCAGTTACCCTAAGAATGAATGTGTGAATTTGTGCTGAAGTGTTGATATTCTTACTTTCACATTAAGTGTTCCTCTGCAGGTCAGAACGTAACCTCTGAGTGTGTGAAGCAGGTCAGCTGTGGCACCACTCACCTGGATCTTCAGAGCTACAGATATGATGATAAAGAAACACGCAGCATGTGATAGGATATAGTAATATGAATACATATTTTATTTGATCTTATCTCATCTTATGTGCAATGCACTGTCATGTTCTCAGTAACGTATGTGTATTACGCAGTTTTAAAAACTTCTACAAACCAAAATATGGTATACATAACAATCAAACCAGCCATATTTGTATGACACAATGTGCTGAACAGACATTTTAGATACACATACACATATATGTACAAGAATAGGGGAATATGATTGTGTAAAGCATGAGTATAATTATGTAATACAAAATGCACAGACATATTTCCATACAAAGTATGTAATTTGCACATTTTACAACATATATGACTTATATTTTTTACGTAGTGACTTAAAGGCACATTTGCAAAATATGCAAGGCAAATTACAGTGTGTACAAACCTAACGATAAATTTGGGATGACTTTCATTGTCCCAACAAAGCTCTTCAGGGTTTAGGCACATTTTATCTCATGTAAGATTATGTTTGTCTTTAAAGTTTATACTTCTGCTTTTGACTTCTGAGCCTATACACTCGTATCCCACTAGCTTAATGCAGAAGATTAGGTGCTGGGAAAGCATTGTCTGTCCTCCATATTGTAACTCTGCTGTGCTGTCTGTTGTGCTGTTGAGCAAACACAGACAACACAGAGACAGTCCTGTTTGGCACAATTACAGTGGAACACAGCTCTGGCCAAATGCTAACTCTGCTCTGCCTTTGAAGCAAACTGCAGAAAAACTGTTTAATCAACACTAAACCACATCAAAAGAGCACAGAACAGAATTAGTTAGTACAATTTTTACATCTCGCAGCCTACAGTAAAAATTAAATACTTCCACAAACCTGATATTTTTTCTAAGACCTATTCTGTTGCACTTAAAGACATTAATTGGATCAAAGGCAGCGTATCTAATCCTTCATTACCTTCACTAGTTGATTCCATCCGTGATGCTGTGTTGACAGTGTCTCCGAAAAGGCAGTAGCGTGGCATTTTGGTGCCAACCACACCAGCCACAACAGGTCCTGGCAGGATAAACAGCAGCAATTGTAAACAAAACTCTTGGTTGATAATATATATGACATTGCCTAATCATGATAATGCATTTGAGGTTATTCAAAGGGGGCATAACCTAATTTTTAGAGTTTCTTATACCTACATGAAGCTGCCAAATCAAGTATTGTGAACATAAACAACTAGCTAAAAAAAAAAGCCAGGGCCCAGAGAACTACTGGATTGTAACATTGCAATGTTAAATGTGGAGCTGATCCAAACAGAATCATTGACGGACAATTACAGAGGTATGAACATACAGAAGGGTTTTTACAAAAGCTTTAAAAAAATTTGATCTACATAACAATTCATTACCCATGATGATGGTTCATGTCATTATGTTAAAGCTTTTCCAGCTACAGGCATATTCTTCCAGAGTGATACTGAGTGTATTTGTATTGATTTGTGAGGACTTGATGTCAGACAGCACATGTAACAAGCCATGTGATGCTGTATATTCCCCTGTTCCAACCAGGAACAGATATCTTACCTTATCTATCTTACAATACACATATAATCGTGTAATGATGCAGCAAAAGTCACATTTAGTTTCACGTATACACACACAGGTTGCTTAAGGTTACTCTCTTATCACAGTCTGCAACCTTTGAACACTGTAAAACTGTGAATGTGCCCTTAAGCTCTGGTAAAATAGTGTCTTCTTGTTATTGAATCAGAAATTTGTGATAATATATGTCCCAGTTGAATTTCAGTAAAAAAAAAAAAAGAAAAAAAAAAGAAAAGTTTCTATCAGTCAATGAGGAGGTGTCCGGTGATTGGACTGCATTCAACCTGGTTATATGTGTTTATTAAGACTGAAGCAAGGTTCAGTTGGGACAGGGCATACAGTGGTCGGATAATCTAATAAACCGATGTTGGATACAATGAGACGGCCACAGTACCTGAGTGGATGCCGGCGCGGATCTTCAGCTGTGTGTTGGGCTTGTGGGGGATCTTGAAATTGTGACAGACACTGACCAGATCCAGGGCCATGCTGGCTATCTCTCCAGCATGATTGATGCCATTTTCTTTAGGGACCCCAGAGACCACCATGTCTGGACGATCAGCCATTATTTCATGATAAGAGATAACACAGGAAGAGGGAGAGGTTCACTGATAATAGAATAGCAAAACACACATCCAGGTTCTATTTAGAGCACAAATCTGTTAAAAAAAAAATGATCCCAATGAATCAATCGCAACAATATGCCACTGATTCATTGGGATCATTTTTTTCTGTTTCACTTTTAGATCAAGATTTCTATATTGACTTTTGTTTCATGTTTAAATTCTTTCTCTCTTTTCTATGGTCGAATTTAATATTAACTTAATAGGACTTGTCACTTATTGTTAATGGTTTATCATTTTGCAGATGTAATCTCAACATCCTCACTTACAAGCATCGCCTATTGTCTCCACTTTGTAGACATCATAATTGTCAATAATGTCGTCGAAGGTGGTGTAGAGCTGGTTGAGGAAGTCTACTACCTGGTGGGGTGTGCTGGCACCAGACAGCTGAGTAAATCCAACAATGTCACTGTCACAGGGGAATAATACAGTGTTAGTATTATTAAACTATTAAACTAAAGAGAGAATCTCTAACCCCCTCTCCAAATGTCCATTACAAAAAAAAAATCAAACAGAACAGTTTGATGATCAAAAACCTGAAGTAGACGGTGGCATTGGAGAAGCTCTGAGCCTCTGCTGTTCGACCTTGACGGAGGTCATCGGCCACCGGCTTTGGTAACATACCTGCACATGAATTTAATGACTTTAAATATTGCTGTGTACACATTCATAGAATTTGTTTTAGGAGCAATGGATAGAAAAGGAAACACAATTTCTGCACCACTAGATGGCAGCAAGAGCAGCCGAGTTTGTCTTTTATTACCTTCATCAAGCCTCATTCTTTTAGTTTAACTGCTACATAAACTGGATTTACTGGGCAATAACAACTCTTTCTCATACAGCAGGAACCTTCGCTTGCAGCACTATTCTGACAGTATATGTCCACTGTGTTTATAGTTTATCATTTATCATCCATTGCAATGTGAATGTATGAAACAGAGATATCACTAATACCTCTACAATGTCACCAAGACAAATTCATATTATTCATTTGAACCGTGCAACTCATGCACATCACTCCTTTCTGTTATTCTGACTTACTGTATAGCAGTCGATCTGTCTTCTGTTTCTCTTGAAGAAGGTCCTGTGTTCTCTCAGCAACTATGGCCTCCAGATGTTTGCTGTACTTCTCCATCTGCAGTTAAAGAAACACTTTGTTTCTGAAACTCACAATAATCCGTATGGCTCAAAGGACACTTGAAAGTTCTTCCTCACATTTGTTTTACCATATTTTCACATGATATTTTGTACAATCCTGAGCTGATTCCTGCATACTATATATCTTTTAAGCCATGTTGTTCCATATTATTTTACCATACTTCAGTGGGTTATTACCAGGTTCATCATCATGTCCACTGGGCTGACTTTGTGTGGGTTCATCTTGTCAAGCATCTTCTTCACTTGCTCAAATGTAGGCCTCATGGTGAAGTTGTGAGACCAGCATTTCTTAATGAGCTGCTCAATATGCCAGAAAAGACAGTGAGACATTATTGTTTAGTGTGTTTTACAGTATAATGCTTTCTGACAAATATCTCCATGCTTTTTTAGAGTTATTCGACAAAAAGATAAAGCCTCTACGACTGTAGTGTAATTATTTTATTTGCATATGTGGCAGACCTCACTGTAGTCTCCCTGACTGGGACAGTCAGTATCTGCCTTCCCTGCTTTGAGTTCAGGCAGAGGGGGGCGCCACATGATATCCATCCTCACTCCCTCAGTCTGGTCCTGTTAGAGAGGACTGCTGGTTACAAAGCAAAGATCAAAAGGATGCCGAAGGTTGTAATCTACACAGTTGGCTGCAATACTCACTGAAATGAGGTCAGAGCGAGTTGCAATCTCGACCAGAATCATGGAGTAGCTGAGGAGAGGAGGGGAAAGTAGCACAGGGATGCATAAAGATACTTGTCTATCCACCATCTTTAATCCAACTGCATTAAATTTCCATTTGGTCCAAATCTTACAATCTGAAATGAAGTGCTTTAACTTTAATTAACTGCTTATACAGTGGCACTCAAACAGACCTGTAGACGTCCGCTGCTGGTGTCATATTGGAGCTGCTTCCCAGCAGCACCTCTGGAGCACAGTACACGCGGTTTACATCCCCACAGTTGAAGCCATTACTGACGGCCTCAAAGTCCTCCTTTCTGTAGGCTGTGAGCCCATAATCTGGAGCCAAACACAGGAAAATATAGTGTATAGTGACGCAGGATGTTGTTTTTCACTTTGCCTTCATAATAACATTGCTGCTGGTGTAGGATTTGGCGTAGTGCAATGACTTCTATAAAGAGATTTTTCTTAGTGTTATTTAAACTGTTTATGTTGCGTGACGTATCACATACAGTGAGGTATGTGTATGTGTAACCACTGAGTATAACAATGACAAAAGCACTTTACTGAACTTGGCACATGGATTTTAAAACATCTATGTCTTTATACTGCAGACTCAGGTTGTGTATGATGATTTTTTTTTTACCTGAGATTTTGCACACCCAGCGGTCATCAATAACACAGTTTCTGGAGTGAAGTCTCCCATGAAACATCTTGTGCTGGTGGAGGTAACACATCCCACGGGCGATGTCAGTGGCAAAGGACAGCCTGTATGGGGGAGGAGACTCTCTTATAATATAGGAGTAAATATAGTATAGTGTTCGCATCCAAAACACTACAGTAAAATACTCTCATTGTATTGCATTATGGTCTAGCAAGGTTCTTGTTAGAGTCAGGATTTTTCTGTGTCAGTGTTGAACTGTGGTGTAAAATATTGAGGCTGGAAAAGAGCTCTTCCTCATTGCCCATATGAGGGATAGACACCAAAATATTTCCTGCTCAAGTTTTGTCAGTAAAATACATTTTGAATTGTCATTATTATGTTTTTGACCTTGATACCGTGCTGTGACTAAACAATGATCCTCAGCTACAAGGCATGAGCATAAACTGTAGAAAAAGCTATTATGGGCAAATAATTGTAACACCACCATCAAAAGCAGGTCTTTTGGTGCTTTTGTTACAATTTCTAATAATGAATAAGATTGAGAACAAGTAGGAAAGGATTATAATATCAGCTAAATGGTCAACATGTAAATAAACAAGGCTGCGTGTGGAGGTTTCCGGACCTGAAGCCCCAGTTGATGGGGATGTCATCATTCAGCAGGACATCAGACAGGCTCCCTTTGGGGCAGTGCTCTGTGATGATGCTCACATAAGGCACCTCAATGGAACCACCAATGAACTTGCATAGATTGGGGTGGTCCAGTTGCCTAAACATAATGAAAAATTATACGTATTGGCTTAAATGAAAACTGCAGGAATCTTTCTTTCATTTGCAAGTTAAACATTCCCTCATTTTTTTTTCTTCTCTTTTCTCTGTGAAGGAGTTTCCTCACCTGACTTCTTTCACCTCCTTCCTGATGGTTTTAGACAGAGCGAAATGTTTCTTCTGGATGTGTTTCACCGCTACAGTCCTTCCATCACTGCAAGACAGTTACTATTGGTTCATCAAGTCAACTTCAAGTTACTTCTGTTAGTTGAATTGAAGTTAAATCTGATTCATAAGCATTTACACAAAGAAATAATAACATTTCGCACTATATGGCTGGCTGGATGAAGCCTTGTTTGAAAGAGTTGTTGACTCCAGTGCACACAGTCAAATCAGTAGTTTGACTGATGGTGGAGTTACTCTTTCCGCGCTGCAGGCTCGTGATGCTGCCAATGCCCATCCAGCACATTCTACCTGCAGAGACCAGACAGTCAAATACTAATGTCAAATACAGAGACAATTTACTAATAAGTCAAGAACAGCTTGGAGGATTTTTACCGCTGAGATATGCATTTAAAGGAGGGTGTAGAAAGGGTAAAATAACCTTCACTATCAGATGTTCCTCTTTAATTCACTGAAGATCAAACCCCCTTAAAGCCTGACCCACTCTTACTCACTTAAACAATTGAAAATGCAACTCACATTACAGAAGCAGATATAACAGATAACATAACAGACAGATCAGTAATTTTAGTTTAAGATTTCTGGCACAGCACCATCGTTTCTTCCTTTTAAAGTAAAATTGAAGTGATCCAAGCACACACTTGTTTACATTATGCTTTCTGTGTAGATTATATCTGTAAATGGTATCATTTCACAACTTAATCCTGTCACATTTTACCAAATATGATGTTCTTGTAGTTGATGATCCAGCTTTCATCCCAAAACATCTTCTGTTTCTGGTACTGAAGCCACTGCCAGGTGGAAATTAAGATAAACATCAGCATATAAAACATCTCCTGTGCTTGTGGTTGTGTGTTGTTGCGAGCGTGTTTTGCACAGACTGACCACCATGGTTAGGATGAAGCCGCTGCTGAAGAGGGTGACTGGAAGGCCAATGGCTACTTTGATAGCGATGGACATTGGGCAGATGCCGCAGTCTGCAGGACAGTTCAGACAGTTTTCCTCCAGCTCGCAGACGTCGTCCCCACACACTTAAACAGTCACAGTCACATATTTTACATTTTAGGTTTCCATCCACTGCACTCAGTGGTGGAGGAAGTTGAAGAGGAAGCTATTCACTTAAGCAAAAGTAGCATTACACACTGTTACAAGGAAATGTGTCACATTCAAAACTCTACAAAAGAAAAAGTACAAAAGTATCAAGATATGCTCAAAGCACCAAAAGTAAAAGTACTCATTATGCAGAATGGCTCATATCAGAATGATATATAGTATATTATTGGATTATAATTATTGATGCATCACATTGATGTTGGATGAATACACTAAGACATAAGTACTGTGTTTGTATAAAAGTATGTATATATCTTTCCTGCAGGTTGCAGGACGTTGTATTGGTTATCCAGGTTTCTCTCAGCAAGTACAAAATGAAGTTTATTATTGGGCCTCAGCTCGTAGTGCAGCAGTTGTGAAGACCATTTTACTGCAAAGTCCAACAGGTCTCTTTTTCCTTAATGTTTCTGAACTTGTCCAGTAGTTAAAGAAGTCTGTTCTTTTAGTCTCTTTGTCTGGTTGATAAAACAACTTATGTGTTGTACCTCACAGACCTCCATTTTCTACACTTGTGCTTTTGCATGACCAAACTTCATGTGTGTTAGCAAACTGACCTTGGGCACTGACAACAAGCACTTTGGACTCCAGTGCTGCGTGCATCTGTCCGATTTTGATGTGAGCAATGACTGAGGTGACTCCCACATGGATCAGCACCACCTAAATGAGAAAGTATCACAGCGGAGACTAAAACATAGTTGTATTGTGGAAGAATTAGCTTGTATATCAGTATAAGTCTTGGTTGACAAAATCATTTACTTTAATTGTTTTATTAGAAGATTCAAAAAATCCAAACAAAACTGATGAGATTCATAAAACAAGCTGTTATTATACTTTAAAACAATGTACATACAGAATATAGGCTACCTCTGTATAACTGCCGCACTTCACTTCACTATACTGTGACTTACAAATTAACATAACCAATGAGAAAACACTTAGTGCTGTAGATGTATGTGTACGTATATGAACTGTTTGTCCTGTAAGAGACTGTTCTGTCAGATTTTAACCAGACACAATAACAAACCTGTTTTACATTTTTGTTTTTTACTCTGTTGTCTGTAGTTTTAAATTCACACTCATTTGATAAGGCACAACCCACAGCACGGCGTTCTTGTAATTTCCTACTAACACATAAGTAATTACAACCTGTTTCCATGTAGTATCGTGACTTACCAGCGGAAAAGACTACAGGCTTCACAAAGGACGTTTCACTTTGATCAAATCCACATCTTTTAATCTTTCCCTTGATGCAAGAATGAAGAACATCTGCCATGTGACAGACTTTTTTATCCAAACAGTGTCGGACCATATTGCCAGTGAAGTATCCCAGTTGGTGAATTGTTTTGTTAGTACAGGAGGATTTTTTTTTTTAGGCATCTGTGTCTTGGTGTGTTAATGCCAATACATAAAATGAAATATTTGCAGTTATTAAGGTGATATGTTTCTGCAACAAATACTACAAAGGTTCTCCAAACCTCAACACATGTTAAAAGTTACTGTTTCTTTTAAAGAGTTTCGTTTGGTTCGGCTCACCTTTGAAGTCCAGTATTTCTGGGACATCTTGCCTGCTTTGGATACAGTGTGAGTCACTATTTTACCATCATCAGGAATCCACGGGCCGCAGATTCCACCTTGTTTCTGTGATGAGACGGAAAAACAGCTGAAGAAATGCTATTCCAACATGTGCTCTCTACACAGATGAAGATGTTAGTTTGGCTTTTTTTTTAAGCAAGATGGGTAATGTTTTATTAATATTCCAGATAACTCAAGTAAGTAAGTAATCATTATCGCTTGCTTTCATGTTTTATTATATTAGGAGGAGAGGATGATGACGGTCAGTGTGTGTTTCAGTGTTTGGTGATGAACCCAGTGTTGTGCGACACTCTGATGGGTACAAACCATGAGACCGAGAGGACAGGAGTGGATGTTGGCATGATACACACAGCAGTTCATTTCATTGGCGTTGTTCCAGTTTGCCGGGCACTCGTGTTCATGACAGAACCTCTTTGCCTCTGACGCATCACTAGAAGTGAAGATGAGTAGGTAAGCAAATATATCAATGAACACAACAGTGTGTACGTGTGTGTGTGCGTATGTGTGTGTGTGTGTGTGTGTGTGTGTGGTGTGTGAGTGTGTGTGTGTGTGTGTGTGTGTGTGTGTGTGTGTGTGTGTGTTTGTGTGTACGTGTTACTGTGTATTGTATTACAGTAATTGTAAAGTCTTCGTTAAGTTGTCTCTTAAATCAATTCATATGCATGTGGCTACATTTGTCTGTCTCTATCTGTATGTGTGTGTGTGTGTGTGTGTGTGTGTGTGTGTGTGTGTGTTCATTCTGGGGGATGGCAGACGTTTAGGATTACAGGTGTTTATGTAACACACTCACCTAAACTGGAAGATCTTGTTCCTGATGGCGTACTCGTAGAAGGAATCTGAGGCCGTCACCGTGTACGAGACATTGAACTCCTCACCGTTAGTTACTTTCTCTGGTGGACGCTGCACCCAGGACATTTCCAGACCTGTGAGCGCACACATGCACGTCGCCTGAACATCCACATTCACTTTGCACATTCAAACAGAGTGCATAAGCATACAACAAGGGATACTGCGTGCTGTGTTTGCACATGTATCGTATGATTTCACAAGCAGCTATAGTTTATGGAGCTCCACCCCCTAAGTCACTGTAATTAATTCTTGACATGTTGGCTCCTTCCTTTTCAGCTGGGGCAGGAAAACCATCAGATTTTTCAGTAAATTGTCACACACATCATCATCATCATCATCATCATCATCATCATCATCATCACTGAAAACAAAGATTAGAACTCACACAAAAACACACACAAACAGGCAGACAAACACATAAAAAAGACTTACCTCCACAGCTAATCATGTTGTAATCATTTGGATTGTTGATCGGCCAACAGTCGTACTCTGTGTTGTCCAGGTCATGCCAGCAATTTACTCCCTGCAGTAGAGAGAGGAAGCTTTATATGTGAAGACTTTGTTTTTCATGTTTCCATTTAAAAATTTTAAAAGTGTGTTTGTAAAGTGTTTTTATCTGTGTATCAAGAGCAGTCATGTGAGAAAGTCCATAAATTGAATACACAACTCTGTAGAGCCTCATTGGGTTAAAATCAAGCTGCAGCCAACATCAGCAGTGCAAGCAAAAGCACTGTGGTGGATAAGAGTAAGTAAGAATCACAGTGTTATCTTTTATACAAGAAAATAGGCAGATTGATCAGAGAGTGTTTCATAATCTAGCAAATCAGCACCACAAGAAAGTGGCAAGTGACACAGTGATACAATGAAAAAACACAAGTCCATGACCACTGGCCGGCAGCAGCAAGTGTTTCTGACAAGACAACAAAAGCAAGGGGTTTCCCCAGCAATACTGGGGAAGTGTGATTTTTATAAGCTCGATTTAAACAAGTGTTTATATTCTATCTTCTGTGTAATTAAGTCAAGTTTGATATCACATCATAGTGCAGTGCATTAAAAACTTAAGTGCCTTAAGTATCTGTAGCTAATAGCCCATGTTTCCTCTCTATAATTAAAGATGCTGTGGTGTCAGATTTGTAAATGAATCATGAATTAAGAACTTACCAGCAGGAAATACAGGCAGAGGGACGCTGCTATCCAAAAAGCCATGAGGAGGTTTGCTGCTGTGGCCAGACCTGCTCTAAACTGACTGACTGAGTGAATGACCAAATCTGTGTGTGTGTGTGTGTGTGTGTGTGTGTGTGTGTGTGTGTGTGTGTGTGTGTGTGTGTGTGTGTGTGTGTGTGTGTGTGTGTGTGTGTGTGTGTGTGTGTGCAGTCACCTGCACTACAGTAGACCCTCTCCCATCTCCTTTGTCCCTAATTGTCCAATCAGCAGAAGAGACTCTCCAATCACAGTTTGAGAGTGTCTTCGTTCACAAGGTTCTTCGGCTCACCTTCACTGTCCTATAGGTCAGAATCAGCCAGAGGTCTCTGCTGCACCTGAACTGACCACCAGAGCTCTGCTTGTATTGTACATGATCTGATTCCAACTGGACTGTGTTAAATCAGTGAGATTTACCCGAGGCAAAAAAATTTTTTCTATCAACTTGACATCTAATTTGAACAATTAATACCGGTGAACATGATTGTAGGTCCATCGATTTTAATTGCACTTCCCAGGCATTTAGAGTACAATGCAGGATGGATTTTAGTGTCTTCCTCGAGGACTATCAGCTGGGGTCTGACCAGTGACCTGGTGACCTACAATAAACTTTTATATCAATACTACAACAGTTCCCTAAATCTTGAGTAACTTTGAGAAATACAGACATGTTATTCTGCAAAAAAACTTTTTATATTTCATAAAGCTTCTTAAGTGTGCGTCCCTTTGCTCTCAAGACAGCATCAGTTCTTCGTGGCATGGATTAAACAAGATGTTTGAAACACTCCTTTGAGTTTCTGCCCCATGTTGACATGGTTGCATCACATAATTTCTGCACATTTGTCTGCTACACATTCATATTGCCAATCTCCTGTTCTACCACATCCAAAAATGTTCACATCTGGTGACTAAGGAGGCCACTGAAGTGCACTGAACTTTTTGTCATGTTCATAAAACCAGTTGGAGATGACTTTTGCTTTGTGACATGGTGCATTATCATGCTGGAAGTAGCCATAAATTGTGGTAATAAAAAGTGTTCAGATAGGCTGTGGCATTCAAACCATGATTGATTAGTATTCCCCACACCATTTTACCACCACCACGTTCATGTTGTGTTTAGCTGTATCCTGGAACCTTAAGAAGTAGATGTTTGACTGAAGATTTTTATTATTGTGCCTGCTGTTGTTGAATTAGTCAATCTGTGAATTATGCATGATTAAAATTAAAACTAGCATCTTTATGAGTCCTTAATGACACATGGGATATTTATATAACATCATATCCTAATGAAATTTTCCATCTCTGCCTACATCTGTTTGCTCTCAGATTAAGAACAAACCAAAAGACAGCATTTCTGAACATCTGTGAAATTTAATTGGCTTTTCAAGAATGCATAATTACAGCACAGCTGTAGAAAAAGGCCTGCCGCACCATACAGTTTACAGTTATATGTTTTTGGGAACGCAACACCCAGACAGGCCGGCAACAGTCACGACAGGTCTACAGAGAGCTCTACTGAGGACATACAGTACTCACTACAATACAGCATGTTCTTGATAGAAACCACATGACTTTAAACAAGTCAAACCCCAACCTGAAACATAAACCGAATGTCATTTACATCCTGAGTAGTTTCGTATTAGCAAAATGAACAGTGCTGTACCTTTTCCTCTGCTGTCAAAGCGTGCTGGTAGTGTTTAAGGCATTGAACCCTGAGTTGTGTGTAAGTTTTTACTGTATAAAAAGCATTTTAACATGCAATTAGGAACAATAGGCCTGCATTTCAAGCATGTCAGCTTGAGAAAATTACAGGGAAGAACTGAAACTTTAACGGGATTCAAAGGCTTAGAAGGCAAAGGAACTATATGTATATAGTATGTAGAATATATTAACATCACTTTTAAAAGGAAATGACTGATCTACATGTAGATGTACAGAATATGCCGTATATATGCTATAGTACATTTGGTTGATGTTTGTTTGATGTGTCCATGAATCATTTCAGGTGGCTAATATGTACAAGGCAACTCAAATATAATGTAATGTTTCTGTTGATCAAAGAAAGCTGTGTTAAGTTTACATTAAAATACTTTTATGCAGTTATTTTTACTGATGCAAGTGTTTTGGAGTCTAATTGAGAGGAGGATCTTGTTCCTCCCACTTAAGACTCAATTACCTTTCTCAGGATCTTCGGCCAATAGGAGACTGACTGCACAGAAACAAAAGGTCACTCGTTAATTGGCCCGAACAGAGTACATCATACTGAAGTGGCTGCTCTAGAGCAGCAGAAATCTCAAGCAGTGGCACTTAATCAACTACTGAGTGCAATGCAAGTCATGTAATAGGAATGTGGGATAATCATCTCAGTGTTATTTTTGGTAGTACGCTAACATCTGCCCTGTTGTGTCATCCGAAGTTTAAGGGTAACCATTACAAGTAGTTACTTATCAGTTAGTGACAGTTATCTTTGTTTGTAATCAGGAGACTCAGTTTGACTCAGTCAAACAGGATTTCCAAGTAACCCTATGGTTTGGTTGGGCCATCGTAAGGTGTCAAGTGTGCACATCATCTTAAAAGCCACAGCCTACAGCCACTCTAGCAGCTACTCAAACACGCTCACACTGACAATGTTTGAATGCTGATGTTTATTCCCGTATTCTAGTGTAGCATGTTAGCATGCTGCCATTTGCTAATTAGCAGTAAACACAGCTGAGGCTGATGGGAACATTTTGAAGGTATTTTCCTCACAAATTAAAGTACTGGACAAATTAAAAAGTTGACCTGATGATCGCATTAAGTTATTGCAATTCATCCTATACCAAATTTAATGGTGATTAATCTAATAGTCCTCAAGACATTTCACTCAAAACCAGAAATATCAAACACATGTGAGGGAAAGTCAGGGGATCACAAGGATATGATGTCTAGAAGCCTTGAAGGGCTGTAGCAAATTTTCTGATTGACGATGAGCTACTTGGCCACATAAGTGAAAACATCAGACGAACATCAGAGGACACTAAAATCAGTGGGATTTATCCTCTCTGGACCATGAATGTCTATATAAAACGTCATGACAGTCCATCCAATAGATCGGTTTGGACCAAAGCGGTGGTCTCATCAACGAACTGAACGACACTGGCCATGAGCCCCACCGCTAGTGTGGCTAAACGTAGTGAATGCCAGAATGCCAACAATCTGTGTATTATTATTATACTCTGTTATTATAAAATACATTTAATAACAGCTGTTATATTATATATAAATACATATTATTTGACTCATTTTGGGAACTTTAAGGGGAATCATATTCAAACTGATGTTCATATTAGATAACTATATAGTGAAAGTCATTGATGTTTGACAAAAACAAAAACTATGTGAAAGAAAAGCTATCACTTAACGAATTCAGTTAACTTTTATGATTTTAATTAATCAATCAGTTATAAAAGTCGAAAAAATACACAGGACATAATCATGAATAACCTCAGTTCAATAAAGAAAAAACCACTGAAGCTGTAAACCTTTCCACACCGCTCTCTTATGTGGCATTCCTACACTCCCAAGAAAAAAAACAGAAATAGCTTTAATGATGTCATGTCCTTTACAGCAGGAGTGGCATAAATACATACAGCAGGTTGAAGAAGAGTCATGTGAACCCTGTCAATGATTTATCAATTTAGTCGTCAGAGCAGACTAACAATGGGGGTGGGGTGGGGGTGGGGGTGGGGGTGGGGGTGGCGGTTACAGTCTATTCAGTCATATCCTCTTCGGTTCCTGCAGGCACAAAGTGTATGCTGAACTTCCTGCAAGAATCCAGTGTGTTGCAACATAACCTTACAACCACCCCTCCACTCTCAGATGAGCAGCTGTTTCGTCAGCATGACAGCAGCCTCTGAGTTCAGGGTGTTGAGGCGGATGTGTAAGAATGCTACAGGGAGAACAAGTTCGCCTGCATGAGGTGCTGCAGGCGGGGGTTATGTATGTTTAGGCGAGCTGATAAAAGAGGACATATCTGACTAGAGAGGAGTGACGCTGTTATCTGTTCTCCACAGGCAAAACTGCTTTACAAAGTAAAACTGGGTGAAAATGGCCAAAAAAATCAGGTCTCACCGAGCATGCTAGCTATATCACACAGTTGAAATTATTACATATTACAGGAGGTACAAGTAGAGGCATACAGTACAGCAGTTTACAGTATTTTTCATTGGCTGTGTTTAACAACAGGAAATAATCATTAAAACCATGCCCTATTCAAGCACACCTACAGTTTTATAGTACCTGACTATAAACAAGTTATATTTCTTGACTAGTTCATTCATTAAAACTTTACAAAAAATTATATTAGGGTGAAAAAAAATCACCCATTACATGATTTTTACCCCTTTTTGAGGTAAAAGTAGAAATGTACCGCTGTGTACCTCATACCGGGTCTTTCTAGAGCTATTGGAGCAGAGTGTCATCCAAGATCAAATAACCCACAGGGATGTGATGAGGAAGACAAAAAAGCAGGATGAAACAGCATCAGCAATCTCTCACTACTTATAAATGAGAGTCATGTGTCATTATTAGTGCATCAAAGTCTCTTCATCTCACCCCAGCCTCAGCTCCACACTGGAGCAGCGGGCCTGCAGTGTCTCTTCGAGAAAGTACTTTTAATCTGAGGACGACAATAACTTCCTGGAGACCAACTGGAGACAAAATGTGTTGTCTCTCTTTCAAGTCATCTCCAGTCTGTATCTTATGTTCTTATATCTTCATAAGGTACGTCCAGTCGAAGCTGGACATGAGTTCTGCAAAGTTCTTAGCGAGTTCCATTTTCAGGTCTTCAGTATACGCTGATCATCATTTTTTATCTCCTCTGGCGGGAGGTGGCTGGTGCCCGTGTCCTGACCAGAGCTGAGCGGCCTGGCGTTGGCCTTCGTTGACCGCTGCCGCCGAGTACCGTTTCCAATACACCGCATGAGGTTCTTGAACGTTGTCCACATTTCCTCGTCCTTGTAAGAGTAAATGCAAGGGTTCATGACGGAGTTGAGTACGGCCAGGAGCAGCAGCCATCGTTTTAATTTCATGACGTTACAACTCTTACAGTTGAGGCCATCCAGCAGGAGAACAACCAGGCCGGGGGTCCAGCAGATCACAAAGGCCCCTACAGGAAAAAATACAGCAGATCACAGACACTTAGATTTTTTTTAAGCATGTATCATTTTTTTTGTGCATGAGTGTGAGTGTTAGAAAATAAATAATAATAAAAAAAAGTTTCAATATCAATTTAGAAAAAGGCTACTCATCATATAATATATGATAATTATCTTATAATGTAAAATAATTAAACTGTAATATAATAATTGTCTTAAAGGACAATTTCTCAGCCAGGCACAATATCTTCCTTGGAAGTCACTGCTCTTGGTCAAGAAGCGCGTGAGAGGCAGCCAAGCAGATTTTGTTAACACTGGACAACGAAAGGCTGGCTGTTTCCCCTTGTTTCCAGTCTTTATGCTAAGCTAAGTGGCTGCTGGTGGCATCTTTATATTTATTGTACAGATGTGACTGCTATTGATCTCATGTAACTCTCAGCAAAAAGGCAAATACACCCATTTCCCAACATGTGGAATGATTCCTTTAATTGTACACTTATTATTAGGTGTTATCTGTTGTGTGATAAACTGTTGAAAATAAACAGCATCACCTCCTTTTTTAAAATGTGGGCTTGCAAAGCCCAAAGCATTCAAGCATTATACTAATTTTCACTTATAATTCATAGAACATTGACAATTTCACTAATAACCATTAATAAAATAATTATTTACAACAACCAGACAATCCATAAGAAATTGTGATCATGATATGATCCTAGACTGTAAATTGTGAAAATGTCACAGCCTGGTAGAAACAGTCTAACACAGTTTTTCCCAAAAAATACTACCCCAACATACTCAATTTACAATGTCATTTTGGCAAATGACTTAACTGATTATCAAAATTATTGCTAAATAATTTTCTGTTGATGGATGGTCGATGGATTTCATCATTATTTCTAACATTAAGCGAGTCATAGATTTACCCTTGCTTCCCAGACTTTTGAGATTGACAGACTGCTCAGGTGGGTAAAAGCCAAATATATAAACTAATCAAAAATAAATCAGAATGTATTTGGTGGTTTCAAGTACGTCTATTAATGAAGCTTTAACACAGAACGTATAAGAGTTTGACTTATGTTAAAAATGTGTGCATTTTAGCAGAATACTACAGAGGGCTCAATGCATTGCAGCTTAAGGGCACACGTGCAAATAGACAAAACACAACACACACTTGTTCAATGCTTTGTGACTTTTGAAGCTATGAAGATGGCTTCTCATCAGTGGTGATAGAAAATGAGCTAAATGTATGTCTCTTTGGTTTATTATAACATTGATATTACATCAATTTGTGTGTGAAACAATGACTGTGTCCCAGTTGGGTTCATCACTTTTTTGTGTCCCCTGGAAACACTTTCATTGTTGTCTGTGCTACTTGCAGCTTGTTTCTGTATTTGGTTTGTGTTGTGCGTATTTGTATTTGTCTATTTGGTTGTGTTGTGTTTTTTCAACATGTGTATTCAGATTGATGAAGATGCTTTCTGATATGCTTGTGTTTTGTCGATTTGCATGTGTTTTCTTAAGTTGCACTGTGTTGCGCTCTCTGTGCCGCTGTAGAATAATGCCATTCTAACACCATTTACACAAAACAGACACATTAAAAGAAATATGATGCCATCATTATGTTAAATGCTCAATTCTGTGTGTTTGGTAAATAACAAGGCAGGTCACAGAAGCAGTTAATTAGCCATCTATTTCAAACATGTTTGGGCACAAAACAGAGCTACTGAGAGATTTGTGGAGCTGATAGGAAGCCACAAGCTGCAACTTGCCTGTACTACCAGCATCTCTGCAGCTTCAATACATGTACACAACAAAAACAAGTACTGTTCTACACAGAAACAGACAGAGAGGGTCTGGTAGAAGTGTTGATCTAAGTTTTTTTTTTATGTTTTTCTCTGCTCTTAGGCCTGGAAGTCAAAACGTTTGCCACATTTTTTATAGTGAATTCCTATTTTTGTACTCTTTTCTTCTTCCGCTTGTGTTTTTTCTTTGTCTTTGATGAACCACAAATCCAAAATAACGTGAACTGAATTGAAATGGAGTGAGACCCCATTAAATCAACTTCCACTTGCAGTTTTTGATGTATTCCACAAGTTTAAAAGTGGACTTTATTTCCTCTTTAATCTCTGACAAAGAAAAAGCCAGAGTGGTTCTGAGGAACACAAGCATATGTTCCTTTTAGTATTCATTTACGTGATGGTGGTTGCACTGAAGGAATGAAAACAAAATCTGAATTGGCCTTGTGTAGTTTCGATGCTTCACTTCAAGAGTAAGTCCCAACACTCTTGAAAATGTTACAAATGAATGGCTGTAGACCAATAAAAAGAGATTGATATTTTACCAAACTAGTGCCATGAATAGTGAAGTACACATGTAAACAAGAGAACACAAGAGAAGTTATTCTAAACATTGAAGTAAGTAAATAATAGATTAAAGTGCAAATTTACACATATGAATGTGTTTTCTTCTTTAGTGTTTGTCGTTAAGAACAGGTCATGCACAGTGACTACGTTTAACAACAGCTCTAACTAACACTTCTGCACTCATCCATTTCATACAAAGCATGTGCTGCTTTAATGCGTCTCTGAACAGGTTTGTCCAGTTGCCATTTCCACCTGAGCAGACTGCTTTTCACCCGGAACAAGAGTCAAGTGTCTTTTTTGCTGACGAACAGAGCCCTTGGACCCAGACCTGACTACATATCTGAGATTTTTGAATGTCCTTCTTTTTTCTCTCAGACATCACCGTCATATTCCTTACAACACCGATTACGTTAGAGTGCCTCCGATACTTTTTTCCTTTTGTGCATTTTAAACCGTATATAGACATTCTGCTTGGAATAACAATTTGTGTTTGACATGTTTCTTTCCACAAACAAGATGAACTACCTACTTTAAATTTCTTGAAGTTACATTCACTTTTTTGTCATGAAAAATAATCAAGAATTCTTTCATTTCAAAAGTTAAACTACTGGACACATGATGTCTTCTACTTCACTGTAAAGGTATATGTGATCGCCGTCTCAAGTTTCTGCATCACACTTGTGTAAGTTGCATACTGGACCACGATTGGCTCCAAAGTTGTTGTGATTTCACAAAATCCTGCTCACATACATACACATAAACTTCAACTGAGAATAAAGGTGAGTAGAAGTAAACTTGCACATCCTGCACATGAATGTGAAACAATAAGCAAAACACTTCTTGTTAAACACTGAAGGGGGACTTTAAAGACAACACTTCCTTAAACTACGGAGAACTGCATCTGAAAGCAATTCACAACGTCTTCAAGTATAGGTTCTCTTTTTTTTTTTTTTTGGGCAGGGAGGAGGGGACGTTCACTGAAGGCCAGTGTGGTGTGGTGTGGATGGTACGCCACACAGGCTGAAGAGCAGTGTCCTTGCAGGGAGAGATAATTACACAGCACTCTGGAATAAAGTGTGTGCAGAGGCAGGCGGCTCCTACGCTTCATACAGTACAGTATCGAGCCATCTGTCTGGGCAAGCAGAGAGCCCCAAGGGACAAAGAACAATGACAGATCATTATCCTGCAGAGCAACTGGGCAAAAACACAACAACTAACTCCTCCATGTCTTATATAATCCTCCAGGTGACTATGAAAAGTGTACAAAAACACAAAAACTGAGCGTATTCAGCACTGAGATCAACTCATTTATGCTGCAGAAGTCCTATTGTTCCTTTTCTGTGCCGGGAGGGAAATGATTTGGGTACTGCGCCTCTATTGCAAGGTATCCTGTTGCAACACCTAAACAAAGAGAGCCAAACCACGATATCTGACGACCTTATCTAGGATAAAAATAAATGAGAAGAAAAGAACGCTTCAGCATTTTTGTGCTTTCTAATTCTGGGAAACAGAACATGAATAAGAAGTGGTTACCCAAACAATTAGTCGTATAATTGATAAGCCGACAGACAGATGATGAATCAGCCGCAGTGATTAAAAGTTTAAGGAATTTGAAGCATATGAATGCCAAACATTCTCTAGTTCCAGCTGTTTGCACATCCTGTAAACTGAATACCTTTGGGTTTCTGACTGTTGGTTCGAAAAAACAAGGAATGTAAAGATGCCTCTTTATGCTCTGGTAACCTGTGATAGGTATCTTTTACTATACTTCAAATGGTATAGATTAAATAACTAATCTGTTCTTTGTAAAAAAAAAATGAATCTATATTATAAATGATAATGAGAACTGTATTAGTTCCAATCCTATGAATGAGTTGTTCAGTCACTGGGAAAAGAAATACAGAGGGACCAGAAGACTGGAACAGGATATGTAGAGAGATAAAAGAAACCTTTCACTTCACGACAAGCACAAGCAGGTTTACAGGTTTACTGACAACACTGGTGTTTGTGTTATAATGCTCAAGGTTTTCCTCCATATCAGGAAAACACAGATTACAGTCGAGTGTGCTCAGCAGTGACTCAGTGAATTGGACTTTGTGACTGTTTCAAAGTACACCACAACTCTTTACACCTTAGTAACGCAGGAAATGTCTTGACTCCCTTTTGTATCATCAATACGCAACATTTTTATGAGTAGTACCTACCAAGCACGACCATCACTGTCTTGATGAGCTTAATAGGCGTCCTCTTGCGGTTGATGGAGCCGCTTGTGTGCGGCATGAGCACCGACGTCTTCTTCTTGACGTAGGTGTAGATCCTCATGTAGATTGCCACCATGACCAGGAACACCACCAGGTTAGACGCAGACCAGAAGACCAGGTAGCCCCTGCTGAAGATGGGAGCCAGCTGGGAGCAATCACTCAGGTTGCAGATGCAGTTCCAGCCCAGACTGGGCACGGCCCCCATGAGGATGGAGATGGCCCACACAAGCACGATCAGCAGGGTCACCCTCCTCTTTGTCAGGTTGCTGTGGACTTTCCAGTTCATGACGGAGATGTAGCGCTCCAGTGCTATTACCAGCAGGTTAGACAGTGAGGCTGACAGACTGATGTCCAGCAGGCCTTGGCGGATAAAGTATCCTTTAACTGTGAGCTGCCGCGACACCTCGCCCGTGTTAAACATGAGGTACACGTACGCTATGCCAGCGAGGAAATCCGAGGCAGCGAGGTTAGCAAGAAGATAGTAGAAAGGGTAGTGAAACCTCTTGTTGGTGATGACAGCAGCTATCACCATGGCGTTGGAGACCAGGATGAAACAGCAGAAGAGTGAGCCCACCACCTGGACGAGGATGAGCTGAGTTTTGTCCCATTTATCATCAGCGCCAATGTTGTTATAGAAGAAGCCCATGGACTCATTATAATGACAGGTCTGGTTCTGCTGGGCCATTTTAGAGGCAAGTCTGTGAAACGAGAATGAGAAAAGATAAGAAGTGGAACCATTTAGTATGCTATTCTAAATTACATAACAGACTTTAGCCTCTTCCTGGGGCTTTAAATTGGGGCTGCAACCTTTGCATTTTAATCTGACAATTATTTTCTCAATTAATCAATTCATGTTAGATCTATACATTTCTAACAACACAAGATGATCTATTTCAATAGCTTGTTTTATTACACAAATGTATTCTTTTTTTCTTTCATATATGACAAAGAAAAGCACATAATACTGACATTTGAGAAGCTGAACCAGCTCAAAAAAAATGACTTAAATGATGAATATCATCAAAATAGTTGCTGATTTATTTTCTATTTATTCGATTTATCACTGCAACTTCAGTATAAATATATACAAAACACAGTTACTTCTGTTTTAATACACAAGGACAATCATTCACCTTACTATCTAGTTTATAAAATTATCCACTAATAAGCAATACTAATAAACAGTATTTTGCTGGGCAGTGTTATTACACTGTTTGCAGTATGCATTCAAGTTTAAGATAATCTCACATTTAACAACTGAAGAAAGTTAAACTATGTCTTTCAAATGCTTTGCAGGCATTTCCATATCAGTTTTCGGGAATTCCGTCCATCAATTTACAACAAAAACACGAAGGGATGATAAGAGATGTGATGAGAAGTCTGAGCTGAAATGCTGCACTATGCCAGTTTTTTCAAGGACAAATAACTTCTAGGCCAAGAGAGATTTAATGACTTGACTCCAAAGGCAAGTGCACATACGCCAGAACCCATTAAATGGCAGGAAGCTGTGTTGAATAAAGTTGAAATCACAATGAGACCCATTAATAAAGCTAAACATGATAGTGGCCATAGTAACGTTTAAATGAGAGCCAAAACAATATGCTCAGTCAAATTAAATGAGAAGAGTCCATGGAATTGAATTTCTCCTATCTGTATAAGGTAAACAACAAAGATATGCTGCAACACACGACTTCAACATAGTACAGTCTAAAGGACAGGTTTCTCCATGACTTCAGGAGCCTTCTTTTCGCATGCAACTAACTTTACTACAGCCTGTCCCACGGGGCTGAACAGCAGCACCAACGACGGGAAGACAAAGTCCTCACAGTGGGACAAACTGACAAACAGAGAGACAAGCTCTGCTAGAATACAGAAAACGACATGAAACAGACAAAACAAATACAACGTAGAAAAGTAAGAACAAAGAGTTAGTGGAAAGAACAACTAGCCAGGTGAGTTTACCTGTGATAGAGGGGCGTCAGTGGATCAAAGGTTGCGAAATATTCCGTGAGTTCATGAGCATGTTTCCTCTGAGCCTCCGCAGCGGTGGACGGACGGAGGCGCCGGCAGCGGGACAGGGGACGAAGTGAAGGCAGGAAAGTTGAGCGTCTTCACTTTGAGACTTCAACTTGGTGACGTAGAGGGCGTGTGCCGCGCCGGTCCCATGCCTCAGTTCCTCAGGTTGACCGCGCGAGGTCCGATCACGGAGACGGTACCGCTGTCTGCTCAAGCACTATTTCGGTAGGGCTTGTACAGTGTGATTAATGGCTTTTTATTAATGTTAATAAATCATTTACTTATCGGCTACTTTATAGAGCAGTGGCAAGCAGTTAATAAGAGCAACTGTTGGGTTGCCAGATTGTGGAAATCCTACTCCAGTATAACACTTTATGGGTCTTTTTTTAGCTCGCGGTTAAATTCATTACTGTCCAAAAATCCATTAATAAACAGCTTATTAACATTTACAGCAGCTGACTTGAGGCCGTGATTTATTAACTTTTATAACTGCAGGTGACTGACTAATATTTAGTATATTAAATTCAGATCCTTTATTAATGTCATACTAACGTTTATAGCTGCAAACCTGATTAGAAAGAGTAAAACCCCTTGTGAACTTGTTTCCATTTTATGCTACTTTATACTTCTGCTCCACCGCATTTAAGCAGGAAATATTGTACTTTTTACTCCACCCTATTTATCTGATAGTTTGGAGTTATTGGGTGCTTTTCAAATTAAGATGAAAGGTATCTGGAGACATTTACATTAAAAACACATGATAAATTATAACACAATGTTAAAGATTAAACCAGTGGTTCCCAATGTTTTTGGCCCCTTACATTAAAGGAGTGGCACTTTAAGATGTCAATCAGTTGTTAGCAGTTCAATCAAAAAGACGTTTCTCACCTTGTTTCATTTCAATAACTGTTCCAGGCCCAAAGAGATAAAAAAACATTTTCAGTATTTAACAGAACAGCAAAGATTACAGAGAAGCACTTCTTCACCGCTGACAAAAGTGACTCAATACCTTCATTGCAGAGCATGGCCATGCCTGTGTTTATCTGTTATGGGGCCCTGAGGAACTAATTTGTTGAGGCCCCCCTACTTCTCACATCCTCTGTAAAGTGTGCATGTACAGACTCCACCAAAATCCCATTCAGTACATGACACATTTTTCACATACACTAAAAACCCAACCAGTACTGCTGTCTTGACTCCCAGTCTTCTGTGTGGTCATCTAATTTGAGGCATTTGGAGGCCCCCGGGGCAAAGCAGGTGCCTGCTATGCTGGTTTGGTAATACAGCTTTGAACTTGTTATATCAAGTCAGTTTACAACACAAAGAATGTAGTGGAAGTTTACCAACACACTGAAGTGCCTTGGAGCACAAAAACATTGTGAATTCATATAATGGGTGGATTCTCCTTTATTCTGAGTCATAATTTTGGAGCAGTTCCTCTGTTCACATTCAAACCTACTGTGTTTACTGTCTTGACTTCAATGGAGGGCTTATTCCCATTTTCCACAATTGTGCGTGTTTTGAAATTTGTCATTAGCTCATGTTCCTGATGTTTGTTGACCCAAACTAAACTCACAGATTAGTCGAGAGAAATTCTTAGAGTAGATACCAAAAAGGATTTGGTATCTGTTTTGACTTGAACTCAAGTCCTAGTATGAAACGAGATATTACTAATACAAGGGCAGTATTGCCACATATGAAGAACACTGAGGTGGCACTAAATGGCGTGTCAGCTCATTAACACATGCCATAGAACCGCCTGATCTCTCAGGCATTTTATCACATCCAGACTGAAATCAGTCAAAGGATCTTTTGGATGACATTATGAAGAAGTGCCCCACAGGTAAATGCAGGTCTTGCAGATGAGCTCTGATGATTTGTCAGATCAAACTCAAGGGTTTAATGAAACATGATTTTTATCAGGTAAAAACATAGCAGTCACAGTGCAGGTGAGAAGGCATGCTCAAGCTTGTTCTAATAGCTTGACATGCTGGTAGATTTGATGATAACCGTGACTCATGCTCTGGTGCTGGTGTAGTCATTAAAAACTCCCTTCTCTTTCTCAATCTCAGCCCATCTGTGAACATGTTATGAAATTTAGAGAAATCTTTGGAGCACCTAATATTTTTCTGAGCACACGAGAGATTTGTTGTACTGAAACGTTGTTCTTATTTTATATCAAGTTCCCATCACTGCTGGTAAGACATTGATCATGGAAATAATAGGATTAGTCCACAGCTTTGACCACTTACTTGTAACTTGCTGTGTAACTCAAAGCTCAATGTGCACACTTGCAGAAAAGACGGGAAACGTAGTCTAACATTTGATATATGTAATGTAATGTAAAACAAACATTGGCTTTATTGCACTCTTTACTACAACATTTGACAAATACATTTCCTCTAGCACTGCATGATGTTGCATAGACCCGGTGTTTGCAGAAATAATCAAGTGCAAATCAACACCGAATCCAGCTCTTTGGCAACTAACACATATGCATGCCTAAATAAGGCCCAGTAAACTCATCAATATCCTGAACTCCAACAGATACTGTTAAATAACATGTGAAACCTTTTTGTCTTGCTCCCAGTTCCAACTCGAACTCAACTTGAACTTGAGCTCCAGTCTCCAGCATTTCATATTGCACTTTTTACTCCTGGAAATACACGCTCCAGGATTCTTCAGCGGAAGCAGCTGAAGTCTGCATCAGACACGTGAAGTCCTGTTCCCAGCATCCTCCTCCCCCTCATGTTCCTGCTCCCTGAATCGTCTCATCTGGGGGTGGGACAGTTGTCAACTGATCAGTATGACATCATCATTTTCTGGAACTCTGCAAAGACATGATCGAAAAAAAGAGGCATGACGCCACCAATGTCTCGTCAACACCACCATATACTGATAAAGAAATGTTTTCACTCATAAAGATGCTTAATCAAATATCTCACACATCAGGGATACTGATCTGTATTCAAAACATTAAAGCCCTTGAAAACTTGGTTTGTAAGTATATCTTAAGAGCTAAAGATATTCCGTTTACTGTGAGATGTGACAACAGCAATTTGAGAAACTGTACGCAAATGTTGGGAATCTTTGCTTGAAAAATGAATGATTGAATATCGATTAATGATTTTCTGTTGATTAACTAGTCGACTAATCATTGCAGTTTTAATGACGAGTAAAAATCCAACGGCTTTCACCAGATTTTGATTCAAACATTGATCAACACACAGAAGAAGCTGATGTCACCTTTTTTCCCCCCCAACTACACCAGGTTCAATGTGAAACTATCTCAGACTGTGTCTGAGTCATTTTGTGTTACAATGTCACATCCAACTCATTACAAAGGGCACAAGAATTCAAGATTCAGCAAGACTCACATTTGCTTGTTCAGACTGGTGAGGTTTCTCTAAACTCTTTGCTACAGTAGTGTTTGTGTTGAGCTAACCTCCTACAAAGATTATCACAGTCAGTTCCCACAATTCAAACCAGCACAAGTCCTCCTCCTTATTCTCTGGGGATTCCACCTGCGTGAAGGCTTGGCCTCTGACACAAAGGTAGACAACATAGGGATGGCAAGGTTGGGATTTCAGGCGTAACCTTTCTGAGAATAAAATCCCCAAACCAAGCACTGTGAAAATGATAGCCTTGCATCTTGAACACTTTCTTGTGTTTGACTGTTTGCACCCAAGAGAAACAGCTAATTATGTCCCTGTTACATCAAATCTGTAAACAAATTACACATTTTTCCTTCATCTTTTATGATCTGCCAGATGCAGCAGTTCGCAGTTGTGTCTGCTTCAGCTCTCACAGACCAATTCCCAGACTCTCTGTTCCGCAATCTGCTGCAGCCGTTTGAGGATGTGAATGTATTTCAAAGAGAGCAATAAAGTTGTGTCCATTTACTCTCTTGGAAAGCAAAACTGCACCAGCTTTAGGCCTTACTGTATTTATACATTGCTTCCAGGCACAGCTTTACTGCTCCCTTTGTCAAATCGCTTTAAAAACAGGTACAAAGTGTCATGTAAAATCTTTACAATACTTGTCAATTCACTATGAAGTTTCATACATGTAACTACTGACACAGAATACATTCATCCAAACAGACAAACTTGATATATTGGTTCCAAATAAGAAATAGTTTTAAATCCAAATGGAGAGTGACTAACTCCTCAACTTGCTTTCCAAACAAGATAAGAGAGGCTCATTGTAAGCAGATGAAATTTCATCCTGTAAGACACTGAAGTGTTTGAGCAGAACACAGATCTAATTTTTCTGAGTACAGCAAGACGATACACATAAATACAAAATTTAGTCAGGTCAGAGGCTGCAAATGGCTGTAATTGCACCATCTGTAACTTGACAAGAGTACCCCTAATGACAAAAAGGCAGCCAAATCTAAAAGGCCACTGGCACTTTTATGTTCATTTACACAGAGACAATGCATATTTAGTTGCCAGTCTTGCACAATTACACATTATTTCATAATGGCTCTGTAACTGAGACTACACTTCCTTTAACACTTAAGACATCCAGAGCAGGAACCCTGGATGTCTCTGCGATAGAAAACGGCTGTGAAACCTGCAGGAAAAGACCGCAGAGTGCAAGTGTTAATGTCTGGTAAAACAATAGTGACGGAAGAGCCCTGAAAGGAAGAAAACGATTGTCTGAGCCACAATATTTCATTCAGCACTTACATAATATATGCAGCAAAGTAAACCTTTCAATCGCTGATGAACTCAGTTCTTTTCCACCGATTATGTGTCGCCCAAACATGGCTCAGGCTAGCAGAAAATATTGGTTTGATGGCAAACACTGTACAACATTGTTTATCTCAGAAAAACAACAGCTGTTGCTTTTCTGGGACAAATGACATCTTTTTGCACTCAGTCATAAAATGGTCTGATGATTTTGAAGTAGACGAACAGCGATGGCTACAGAAACCAAGCCTCCTGTCTGTTTACAGTTAGGCCTTTTCCTGAACATAAGCTTAATTGATCCAAAACAGGGAAATTGAATAATATATTAAAAGCATATAAAACATTCCATGAAGCTTTAATAATGCTGAGCCAAAAGTCAAAGTAAGAAACTGCAGTCTAGTGAAGTGCCACTTTGAAACCTTTCAGTTTGGTAGAAACAAACAGTTAAGGAGGAAGCAAGGGCTTTTCAACAAGCTCCAAGTGATGAATAAACTTTACACTGTGGCTTCAAAATGGACATGGTGAAATAAAAGTGTGATAAAATGCAATTCATTACTCTGGCATATTAGGAAATTATTGTAAGGAATGGCATCTGATTACAAAAGAAGGGTAAGCAAGTGATGAAGAAAGAGAGAATGCAGTCCTGCATGAAACAAAACCCCACACACACACTAAACTTCACTGTACACCACATTAAAGACAACTGGAGTTATACTTTCACCCATCGCCCTCAAATCAAATAACTCTGCCCAGCTAACCACCGTAGCTCAGGGTTGGGGGGTGAACAGTGCCACAGTGTACACCCTCTGTTTCTCTGTAATCAGCCCATCACTGGGTGTGTCTGCATAGCTCCCACCACTAATTTCATTGCGCTCAGACCGCGTTCAGAGCGAGCCAAACCACAGCGTGGAGGAAACTCCACTGCAGTCTGCTGCCTGCTGATGATAGAGATTGGCTCATAGAAAAGGAATGAGCAGAAAACGGGGACATATAGAGACATATAGGCATATGTCTTACTGTAGCAACAAAGCGTAAGCAATGCAAACCCAGTTCTAAAACTGTGAATGTTACAGTATATGTGAGACTTTTGTGTATGTATCACCATGATAATGTAATATTCTGTATTCCTTGTTTGTTCCCTTGTAATGGTGACAGATCAATAATCAAAGTACACTGTATATTTGCTTCTTAAATGTTATTATAACTTAGTGGTACATCTTTCTCACCAAAGTTCAATAGTCAATAAGATGGATGCTTCTCACATTGACAGCAGCAAATGTTTGTTTTGAGCAAACAGCAGAAAACGTGACCTTGATAATTAAAGAGTGCCAACTCAATCAAATAAGACAACATACTGCTGCCCATTCTGTTTGTTTGACATGACTGATTTTCTGGTTAAGTGCAGAGCAAAAATACTACAGCAATGATCATATAGCAACCAAGATGCCACAAAAATGAAAAAACAAAACAAAACCCAGAACTATTTCTTTTAGAAAAATCTTAACAAACCCCCTCAGCTGAAGTCTATAAGAGATGGTTGAAAAATGGTAAAGAGAACCCGCCTCTAACACATTGCCCTTGAGCAAAGCATTTAAACGATAACACCGTTCCTGTTTCAGTGATGAGAAGTCATGTTTGTTTAGTGCAGCTCCCAAGTGTGCATGTCTGTGTGTGTGCGTGTCTGTGTGTGAACAGAGTGTGAGAATAAAAGTTAATTATCATCACAGTATCAACATTACTGTGGACACTGTCATACCGTTGGCAGCAACAGAGCACAGACTGTCTGACGTGAACGTCTGTCTGACTGTTCTCCTCTACAACAGGAAAATCTTTCTGCTCTCTCAGGAACTTCTGCAAGTCTGTCAATGGGAACCCATCCCTCTGGTAGTTCTGTTAGTAAAAACAAATATAAATAAATGCAACAATTAAAAAACAGTGTATTGGAAAGTACATGACAGTATCTTTTTCATAACAGTTTTTTATAAAGACCTATTTAACAGTGGATAATCTAGATGTATTCTCGAAAAGGTTTTTGGTGACATTTATGGTACAAAGACGTCACTGATGTCTTCCCAGAGATTTGTGAAATGTTAATGAGTTGCCTTTAATGGCATAAGAAGATTTAAAAGCTGAATTCACATAGTGTCCACAGCTCTCACGTCACTCAGACTGAGCTAACAAACAAGTACCTTGATGGTCTCGTAGGCATCTGTGATGAGGGCGATGAAGAGCGACAGCACCATGTAAATGAACAGGGAGATGAAGGAGTAGAGGTACGCCCGACTGAAGATCCACACCAGCGTGTTTTTGTCCTTCAGCTGGGCGAACGTGGTGAACATGTCGTCACCATTCAACAGGGAGAACAGACACTCCGCCACGCGACTCAGCCCCTCAAACTAGGTCACATGAAACAAGGGACATTAGACTGGACTATATGAAAGTTACAAATGTTATAAGCAAAGTTAAACATTTCTAATTAATAATTTTGCCCATAAAATGCCAGAAAATAATAAAAAATAAAATGCTCATTACAATTTTCAAAAGCCTACTACTACTACTACTACTACTACTACTACTACTACTACTACTACTACTAACAATAATAATAATGCATTTTATTTATAGGGCACTTTTCAGGCTACTCAAAGACACTTTGTGAATTAAAAATTATCATAGAAAAACTATAAAATAAGGCAGGTAATAATAAAATAGATCAAAACAAACAAGACACAACTTAACAAACCTAAACACACAAAAAACAGTAAAACCTAAAAGATATTTATAAGCCGAAACAGAGAAAAACCTGACAAATGAGAATCTGGAACTAAATGATGTTTGACATTTTTGCTTGAAAAATGACTATCAACTATCAAAATAGTTACTGATTGGCTGTAAGTAAATGCATAATCGTTTCTGATCTAGTTACAAGTCAAAACAGATGTGAAGCATTAAGACAGGGTGTGGAGCCATAGGTGATATCCTGTAGCTTAACACGAGAAAGTGACTTATTTCAGATTATTAATTATATTACTAGTGCTGACATGAGACATGCAAAACTTGTTTGCTTATATGTTGTATAATTTTTTCCAATAAGCGTCTAACTCAGAGGGAACAGGAGGTGTAGAAGACTGAAGCAGGATGGTTGATAGAGGTGGACTGATAAAGACAGAAAGGCAAACAAAGAGACAGATGACTGAAAGGGAGAGCTTGATAACCAGTCGCAAATGTTATGAAAGATGCCAAATTCCCCAGTATGTGATAGTATCTAAGAACAACATCCCACTGTGAGAGTATGGATTCAGGGCACAGCACTTGAAGACGTGTGGGACGGCAGGTCCTACAACATCCTCTGTTTATTCCCTCAGTAAATACACAGAGGATCCTGGAAGGGCCGACAGCACTCTACAGGGGACTCCCCCTGCGACCACAATGTAAATATCTTGACCGAGTCTCAGAAGACAGCAGCATTGGGAACTGAAACCTGCTTTACTTCAGCTGCAAGCACCGCATGTCAAATCACTTTCACTTCTGCTGATGACAGGTGATTATGTAAAAGTGTTATTATACATGAGATTAACTTTGACCCCACAAACACACTTCACATAAGTCCACAACTTATTTCTAGTAGTTTCTCCTAGTCATTTTCAGACTGTCAACAAATTTCCATCTGGCCAGTGAGGCTTCACTTGGCCCAGGGCGGCTGATCTCAGTCTATCTCACATCTGTCTCTCCAGCAGTATGAGCTCTGTCTTGTTTAGACGCCTACTGCTGCTCGGACTTCCGTAAATAATTTATCTTAACGGGCGAGGACAGCTAAACACACACATATTTTCTCTGATGGCACTTGCTATCCAAGGAGTTAAGACCATCTCTCCTGAACTGACGCTGTGGTCCTCGCCTGTCCAAATGTCCTACAATTGCAATTCAAATATATTTACTTTGTTTTCAGAGCATACACAAAACCTTTGCTACTACAACCACCTTTCAAGAGTGGTTGTCTAGGGGTTTAAGATGCTGGCCATGAAATTGCAGCATCCCCTGTTCGAGCCCAGGGATCCCTCATATCTCTCCTCCCTTTCCTCTTCTTATTATCCTATTCATATTATCTTAATATCCAAAAAAACAAAAACAAACAAAAAAAAAACACACTTCTGCTACTATTAAACAGAGGCAAGGCTGTGAGTGTGTGCACACGCTTGAATGTGGCACAAACGTATGTCCCAGTTTAAGAATTGGTTGCTGACAGTAAAGCACAGAGAGCTGCTGTCACTTAAGACAGAGGATTACTGGGCGAACATACACTGACACCTAGTGACGAAACTGTGCACCTACACAGTGTTTAAACCAGCAAAAGGCCATTGACCTGAAGTTTCTCAAGACAAAGGCTGTTTTTGCAGTTTTTCTTAGTTGTAGGTTATAATGCTGAAACTGCAATTCAAAAGCTACATAACCACAGGAGAAAGCCTGGTAAGTTTTGTTTTATAGCGGAACTGTGACTGAAACATGAGGCAATTTACAGAAAACTTGGTGCAGAACACCTGCATCTTTCACTATGATAAACATTCATTTACATTCTCAAAATTCACAAATTCAATTATTTCCCAGTGTGAATCCCTGCAATCTCTGCACACTGATTTTTTCTTTTTAAACTGTTCAATCACAGAGTGCTGTTTCAGCCAATTTACACATTTACACACGCGCATATCTGGGAGTTCCCTAATGCGACTTTATTTTTGTGGTCTCAGCAGTTCTACAGGAACAAGCAGGGGCGATGTCACTGAAAAGGGACTTAATAGTTCCCCTAATTTCCACTGCCCATAACAATTTACACATGCACATATTTGGGAGTTCCCTAATCCTAATGATTAACGATTATCCCATAAACTCATAAATTTGCTTCTTTAATTTAATCTTGAGGTCCCCACTGCCTCTGCTCTCCCTCAAATTAGTTTGTCTGTTACCTTTTCATGGTACGGGCCCAGTACAATCCACCCGCAGAAGGTGTAGCCGAGGTAGATCATGCCAGCACAGCAGCAGAAACGCAGAACCTTGGGGAAGGCTGCTTTCATGGTCAAAATCAGCACCTACAGCAGAAACACAGGAAGTATGCAGAAAGTAGAAGTATGTGAAAACTAATTGTTCACTCGTGACCAAATCATGAAAAAAAAAAAAAGTTGAAGACATTTGCTTGGGGTTAGAGCCTGTAATCAGATTTTGTGCATTTCAAATCCCAAATGAAGTGTAAAATGTTAATATAAACAATACACTGTCTTTTGCTAAATGTCTTGGATATGAGTGCAAGGAAAGGCCCCTGTACCTTGTTTAAAAAAAAAAAAAAAAGGGTTGAGATTCAGACTCACGTTGTATTTCTGGAAGTATCCCAGGTACCTGATCACACTAACCCACACCATTAACGTAGATGTTCCCAGGAAGATACTGCACACATCGTAACTGGTCAGACTCTACAGGAGAGAGAGGGAGAGGAAAAATAACTGTCTCCCTGTAGGATTTAAATTAACAGTCAGGAAAAGATTACATGTTTTCTTTAAGTTCACTTTAAGTATGATTTCATTTTAATTGGCACCCTCTTTGTTGTAAACTGAGTGTGGATTATTTTATTAGGGCTTAAAGTACAACGTGGAACTGCAACACAGGAACATCCTATCAATCATTAACTATTTTGTTTAATGTCTTCCCTTTATGTGTTTGAGTTGTAACACAAATCAGCTCAGTGAGCACATTAAAGGGTCTAATTTTACACTGAAAGTTGCCTCTACTGGTGTAGATAACTCTAGTAAATCTACCATGTTAAATCATTTTTTCTTAATAGGCCCTCTATCACTAGATTTCAGAAGGAAATACCTTGTTCCTTGAATTCTCATATCAGCCTTGTCTTTAATAAAAAAAATAATCTATTTTTTTCAAGCAGAACCTGCCATTATTTTACTTAAGTTAAGCTAAATGTTTTACTCTTAAACAAAAGCCTCAGCCAGGGGCAGGAGTGTATGAGGGAAGAGTTTATTTCCATCTCTGTCAAGCTTGGGGTAAACACTCAACATGGTGGCCATGAAAAGGGCAGACAGGTTAAAATAAACTGATCTTTACAGTGTCTCCATTAAGTCTTTTCGCTCCAAAAGGCCACCAGACACTGAGGGCATAATTTAACAGCATTTTATTTCTCAACTGCTTCATAAATAAAAAGGGTGTAAAATCAAGATGATGCTGACTGCTTGAAACTTTGAGTTCAATTAATTTCTTTTTTGCCTGACCTGATGATACCCTAAGATGTCTTACCCAATTGTCTCTGATTATTTAACTTGCAGTATTATATCTCAGTTACCTTTGTACAGAAGATAACAGTAAGCTTATCTCTATGGACGGAAGAACATGATTAATTTTACCTTTGCCTGTATTTCCATCTTCAGTATGGATCCAACTATGGCCAAGAGGTCGCTGACAATGACCAGCACATACCAGCCATTCAGAAACTCCCTCTGATCATCCTCACACACTTTACGATTGTAGTTCTCATGGAAGAATCGGGAGAATCTCTGAATATATAACGATGCAAATTCAGAGCTTCTCAAAGAAAAAGATGTACATACATATCAGCTGATGGCTAAATGGTAAATTCTAGACAAACAACATTATTTTACCAGTAACAAAAATCCTCCTGGTTGTTGCCCAAACACAAGAATAACAGATCCATATCTACATGAGGTATATTACATGCTGTAATAATGGGAATTTGAATTAATTGTAATTATATTGACATTTAGCTTTGGAAGAAGAAAGTGAGAAAGACTGTAAAGGTTTTGAACAACCAGAAAATAATTAAGAAATATAAGCCAAAAAGTAGAGGAGGAAGAACCAAAAAATGTTCTGTGTGATATGGAAGAGTGTGAGCAGGGGCTGAACTGCTGACCTGGAGTAGCCTCACAGCCAGTACGATGGAGCGGGTGCACAGCACAGCTGATGTGAGGCAAACCAGAATGACGAAGCCATCAAACATCAGAAGATAGTGCGTGTTCTTCTGAGCTGAAACAGATAAAGTGTGTGTGTGTGTGTGAGACAGTTTATCTCTTACATAACTCCCAACTACAAGTTTGAAAGAAAACGCCTCACTGACAGTCAGCAATATCAGGCCTTGAAACTGGAGTAAAATGTAGTTATTCTTATTTGTTTTCACCTTTTCAAATGTTTCTACCTTTTTAAAAAAAAAAAAAAAAAAACAGAGGAGGTGATCTGGTGGACATACTTTTTTTTTTTTTTTTTTCCAAATGACAGATAATCATATAGAAGTATGACCAACCACATATAACAGTGTGGGCATTTTCAATATTAAATGACATGATACTGTTACACTGCTAATTCAACCTCATTCACTCAAGTAGGTGTATAAAAAATCTTCCTTTGACCCTTGAAACTTTATACTTAAGAGTAATGTGTAAATATTACAAATATGTATTCGCACATAATAGTGAGAAAAAACAAGCAGCTCTTCATAATCTGGTAATCTTTTGATATGTTTAAATTTAAGTCTTGTGGTTAATGATTTGTTATTTACATTTCTCCACAACTCCTTACACAACCTTACCCGTCCCAGATATCTTCCAGTCTGTGCACGTGCTGCTCTGAGCGTCTATGTCCAGGAATATTTTCACCTTTCCACTGTGACACTGGTTGTCAAATGTTATCTAGGGACAAGGAAAGTAAACTAGCAAAACAATGTAGCTGAATTAAATATATATGTATATATCTGTGGTCTTTATCAGTCTCAAAGATTCTCAAAGCTGTGTCTCTCCATGATGGAAAGTATTACAGTGTTTCACCTGCTCATGTCAGTTTATAATAAGAGATAATAGCTGAAGGGATGAACTGTACCGTGACAAAGAACGAGTAGCAGTCAGGTAACTCCCGCGAGCGCACGGTCTGTAGGTTGATTCCCTTCAGCTGGAAGGTTATTTTGATGTCGACCAGCCTGAAAAAAAAGGAAGGGGTGGATTGAATAGGTGATTTTAATGTACAGTAGAAAAAGAAGGTATTGTATGTTAAACAGAAGCTGCACTGTATACCTGTAAAAGTCCAGGTCAAAAAATGATGAATTTTGGGTTCTCCACAGGTTTGCAGTCTTTGGATCATGTGACATACAAACTGAGAAAGAGATGGACAGAGTGAGAAAACAACGACAGGACTGTTATTGAAAGCATGTCTTTTGCACCTAAGACCTTTCATTTTATATTTTTGGTAAACATAGTTTAATATACAATTTAATATAATGCAGTGATTTGCAATGGGAGAAATACTTGTGATATAAATGCATACTGAACATCTCCTCAGCGATATAATGAAAAATAGAAAAATGTGGTTTGTGGTCGATTTTGACCAATTATACAAAAAAAAAAATTACAGACTGTATAGATAAGGCACTTAAATGTTAATGGCCTCTTTTAACTTGCTTTTGGCATCTTGCAGGTGACTACATGTCATTGTTGTCTCTCACCTCTCTCCAGCTGGGCGTCTATGTCGTAGACCTCGTCTGAGGGCTCCACGCTGCCTCTCTTGTAGTACTCTTTACAGATGATGAGAGGCAGCAGTCCGCCATCTTCATCCTCAGCGTAACTGATGGGACCCGTAGAGAGCCGGCCCAACTGGCTGTACTGTAAATATCACAGGCCTCAGGTAAAACACACTGTCCCAGCGTGATTTATACAACGTCATAAGAGACTGCAGACTGCCATATCACACACAAACACAAAGCCAAGTTGTTTAACATTAAGTACCAGCATGTTTCCCAGGATTTCCAGAAGTTTAAAATCACACAGAGTACATTTATAATATGAACATTAGCTTCCCAGTTTTATCTTATGCTGGTTTTGATTATTTTCAGGATAAGGCGTTTACATGGAACATGAGAGAGCTGGTTATTCATTCATTCATTCACATGTTTACATGTACATAACAGTATCCAGGGTTCTGATCGTCCGTGTGCAGGTGTCTTCAGGGATAAGAGCTTATCCATGTTTTTGAGACCATGATAAGATGTTTACATGCATTATACCAGGATATTGCAAAAACGTAATCATAACCACAAGTGCGCATGTACAGTATATGGGCTCCATGAAAATAAAGAGAAAAAAAAAAAAAAATCACCTCGTAAGCTCAATGATCATGTAACACAGACCTACAATGATTATAAAATGTATGTATATACCTTTTAAAATCAAAAAATCGGGTTAATTTTACATTTTTTGAATGTGCTGTATTTTCATTTCAACAGTAGCAAAGTATGAAACGACCCCATTAACCTAAGGAAAAGGTCAATCTCAACTCAAGCACAAATATGCACAGTCAAACCTAAAGCATTTAAATTCAAACTAACCCTGAAGAATAAGGATGCGTTCATGTCTTAACAGAGTTTTCCTAAATGTTTCCAACTAGTAAATCTGTTCATGTCAACATCCGAGTCGTAATTAGGACTGGAGAACTGTGATGCATCACTTCAGCAAGAGTCAGCCGTTTAGATAATCAAACTAACTGTCAATGCACAGTATTTTTAACCACCACACAACAATTCTGAAAATCAGACAACTGTCTTGACCTGTCCAATGATGCAAACGCTTGTAAGTTGTCAACATGGGAATCTTTCCCCATCCCACAGGGCATTACAACTACTACTTTTCATTTTTGTGACAGCAGTAGAAAAAACAAAAGCAAGAAGCGTAAGCATGTAAGATGAGGAAGACGAACTTGCCTGATCCAGGACATAAAACAGGCTGTCCTTAACATCATATTGGGTGTAGACAGCAACACAGTAGTCGTCCTCATCCACCCCGCTGTAGTCCTTCAGGAAAAGGTTTTTGAGGGCTATGGTGTTCTCCTCCTTATAGGACACCACCAGCTGGTTGTTGAGGCCGAACAGGATGAGCTACGACGAAAACAAGAGGAAGAAGGAACATTTATATTTTATGTAAATTCTTACAGTAATAATCAAGGGTGGAGTTAATTTAGTACATTTATTTCTGCTTCTGGAATTAGTATCTGTACAATACCAGTAATTTTTTTCCACAATATTCCTCTAAAGCCAGAAATGTTCGGTCTTTAGGCGTCTGTGGTTGTTGCTTCTTGAAAGTTTTTGCTACATTGAGCAGTTTCCAATTTCTCAACATACACTGATTTGGACTTTTGCCTGTTTACATTTTAAGGCTCACATACAGCAATGGCCTTCCTTACTAGTAACTTTTGAAGTAGTAATTTTACTTCAAGTAGAATATGAATATGAAGTAATTGTTCTGAGTAGTTTTCCTGTTGTTTTGCTGCACTTTCTCCACTACTGAAACAACAAGGAAGCGTTTTTCTGGGTGGTTCTGCTCTCCATGTCTGTGTTAATCTACATTAATCCCAGCGTACATACTTGTGTGGTGATCATGACAATCTTCAGGATCTGCACACCCAGTTTCCAGGGTATTTGCCGTCGGGCCCTGTACTTCTCACACGGGCTCATGAAGTAGTACCTCAGGTCATCTCTCAGGTTCTCCTCCTTGATAACATCTTGAGTCATGACAGAGCTGAAACAAAAAGGGGCAACGTAAATGCAGGAGCTGGGACACGGATGGGAAAAACGACAACCTGTGTCTGGCCTGGTGCTGTGGACGCCTGAGAACAGAGTCTTTTAGCTGATGAAGAGGCCAACATATAGCACTAAGGGGGGGAGGAAGCAGAAGTGAAAGAGAGAGAGAGCAGTTATTTGATGATAATTTACTTGAGCAATAGTCGTGCTTTTCAGCGCAGTGGACCAGACTGGCTATCTCTCACAGGAAGAACTCCATGTACTGAGGACACTGACTGCATTCATGGAGCTGCCTGGGTTTTAAGTCCAAGGTTAGCTCACTGAGAGTCCACTTTCAATATTTTCCCAACAGTATGTCGCCCACAGACTCTCCCTGACACAGAGCAAATCTCTAGCATTCCATTTTACTTTAAGGGTTTCTGTTGAAATACAAATTTACAGCTATTTTCAGCTGAATTATAGTTGTCTGGTCCCGTCGGGAACTTGTATTAAGCAATAAATAACTTCTGTTGTTGTTCTAATGTGAGACAACAATAATGCAAATGGATTTAAGCTCATTTTTACATCTAAATATTCGGTGTTTCAGCCGCGAAGTCTAGTTAGTTATACTCCAGAGACAGAATTCTTCAGAGGAGTTAACTAAAAATGTTGACATTTTACCTCTAAGCTCATTTTTGAACAACAACTACTTAAAAAAAAAAAACACTTACCTAATTGAATTGCTCCTGTCCAGATATCGACCTAATAATTCCATGGTTGATTATCCACGTGGACGCAGGAGTTAATCGACTGCGGTTGTTCTCAGGTTGACAGAGAGACACTTCCCGCAGAGGGGATTCGCTTCTGCTGGACTTTCTGTGTGACCACGCAACCTCCTCTCAGCCAATCAGGAAATTAGTGTCAGGAGGCGCACAGGTGTCCAATCTACGGCCCGAGGTCCTCCAGGGGTCACTGTAGGACTGAAATGGGCCAACATCACAAAAATATTCAAATAAAATGCTTTACTTAAGAGAATGGCTGTTGACCCAAATCTGAAACTTGTTATTCAGCTTTTAAATGTTTATTATTTTGTTTCAATAATAGTCTAAATTTCCCCTTACTGCATTAAAATCTAAATCCTGTTTCAAAATGATCTTCACACTGCCAAGACTGAAATTCTGTTGGGGAAACTTTTTTGTTTTCCTTGGCCTAAAAGTAGTCCTTAAATAAATAAAATGATCTTAAAAAATACTGGAAATAGCTTGCAACATATCCAGTAAGTGCTTGTTTTTAATTGTGGAATGTGTGGAAACTCCCACTCCAATTCCCAAATACACAGATGACCTCAGGACTACCCCACCCTCCATGACATGACCTATCCACAGCCCTGTCCACAATGTTCCTGAAAAATAGTTTGTAAGCAAAAATCAAAGGAAAAGTTTGAAAAAAAACCTGGTTATTATTCCGAATGAATTTTTACACTCAAAAAATCTAATATTTGTTTCATGAGGACTGTGTAGCTATGGTTTATCAGCTGTCATCACATTTTGATCTGTCCAAGAACAAAACCAGAACAGAACCCATCCTCAGATCTGTTTGGGGCTCCTTGATTAAAGTTTACAGCCACATAGCTCTAAATGAAAGCAACATCAACTTTGAGGTTTTGTTTAATAGACATGCAGCTTGTGCCCTGACCAAATGTTGCATTCAGGTGTATTTTTGCCGTCACAGAATCTGACAGAATAAAACACTTCAAGTTTACCAACCATGAAGTGGAGCACTCAAGGAATGACTCAAAAGCCTATAATCACATTACAAGAATAAAAAAGCAGCATTTTCCCCATATTAATTAATTACCTGAAGTTAATGGTATTTAGCTATGGTTGAATGTCTCTCCATGCTTGACACTGTGTCGACACTTCCAGTCTACTTCTTTGTCTTTGTGTTGTGGCTGTAAAAAAAAAAAAAAAAAAAAACAGTGAAAGAGGTTGTCGAGTGTCTTGAGGGTATGCTTAAATTTGGAATGAGGTATGTGGATACATGTTTGACGGCTGTGGCCGTTAAACATGCTGCATTATTAGACATCAAAACACATTTTACAAGATAACAGATGTCCTGTTCTGAAATTGTGAGCCCATTACTGGTACTGAAAACTGCAGGACTCCACCACACACACAGCTGTTTGTCTTTCAAATTTATTTTGTATTGCAAAGAGAATTTAAAGATTTTTTTTCATAGAAACAGGGTCCATTTTTTATCTTAAACAAATATGGCAAAATGAACATAAAATTCTCACAGATGTCTCAGATTAAAAATGAAAGCAGTGTAAATTAAATTATTTAATTTCTTATTGGCATTATTGGACTGTCTGGCATTATGGACCTCATCGTTTGCAGATGTTTTTCATTATCCTATCCACCGCTTCTTAAAGATGTCTACTTCTTTCAAGCTGCTGCTTCTCTTGACGGAGACGTGATTTAACAGTCCAACTGTCACTATCTTGGGTTTGCAGTAAACAGAGTGAAAGTGGTGGATCAAATTGAAACATGGTTCCCATGCAGTGATTAATCATTTTCTTTGAGCTAAAAACCTACTTTTTTGGAAACTACAGAATCTCTCGTCACCTACTGACTGTCAGAGCGGACACGAAGACTGAAAGGTCAAATGTTAAAGTTGCTGTGAACTGGCTATAACCTGGGTTCAGCTTGTTTTCATATCAATCAACAGAAAATTAGTAACACTGACATGCATTGTGTTGCTATAAACTGCCAGCACTCTTACTCACACATGACTGATACATGAAAAAAGAAAGAAAAAAAAAACTCTTTTCAGGCCGTGTCTATGCTGTATCTTCCTTGTATTCACCAGGGTGCGAGTTTCAGTATGATATCATAATAACACATAGATACATATATGATGATGATTTGTGTTCAGAGAAAGATCTATCCTCCATTAAACCAAAAGCTGGACATTCATGATATCTGATTTCTAAAAAGGTCACCATTGTAGTGTTTCTGATATAATAAATTAAATAATGAATTGTGAGCAAAATGGAAAATACTGTAAAATTAGCACTTTGCGTATGCATATTCTGCCAGATATACATACATTGACAGCGATCCTGTAATGCTTTGTACAAGCAGTTTGTCCTTTTTCATAGAAAATGAAAGGAGGTATCTGCTGCTCAGCAAAGCTGATAGACAATCAATCACCACAAAAATAGCTTATTGTAACAAAACAGCAAAGAAGAAATACAACTATCCCTTTTAAATTACAAAACCCAAATATATATCTAAACTTCAAAAGTTGAAACATTGTCTTCATTGTGCTACCAAGTTTTACTTGGTCTTTTATCATTACATTGAATCTAGGAAATCGAGTTCTATGCGATCGTGATTCCTGCCCGTGGATAAAACACACCAAAACACCAGATCAAGTAAACAAAACTGTATCTGTTTTCTGTTTCCCTGGCCCTGGTTTTAGTATGGTTGCTGTGCAGTTGACTAAACTCTGTGCTCTCTCCAACTGAGGAAACAGATTCATCAAACAGAGGTGCACATTCAGGTGACTACACGGCAACAAGATTAAGTCAGTGGTGGTTCCACATTGGGCTGCCTTTACAATCTTGCTGATGTACAATTCAGCAATGTCTGTCACCACACACCAATGACGCTGTTGATGTAGCAGCTGTCTACTCTGGTGCTGGTGCTGGTGCTGGATTTGTCTCCTGAACAGGGACTCCGACAGTTTCGATGTGTGTCAGTGAGAGAGAGGAGGTCCTGTCTTCAGCTGAGGCTTCCTGGCCCTGCAGTGAGGGGGAGGATAAATGAGGAATATATTACACAAAAATGTTTATATACTGAAATAACCAAAGTATGACATCCATTGCCTGACATTTAGTTGCATGCTACAAGTCCCAATTTTTTATTATTCGCTGCAACAAGTCCTCAAATGGTGATAGAAATTCACAAACTAACTACTACTAACTACTGCAGTGGAATTCAAACTCTTTGTTGCTGTGGCACACAAAATTATTAAAAGGTATCAATATCAACTGATCACAAATATAATATAATATACCATATATATTTAATTGATTTCATGAGATTTTGGTCATTATCAAGCTCAGACAACAGCAAGTATGCCATGGCATCCCAACTGAAATCCACTGCACTGGCTGAACACCTTCAGAAGAACAAGACAAACTCAACAGCTAAAAAAATAAAAACACTTGCCAAATACCCAAATAAAAATATGATCTTGTTATTAAATACTTATTTACCAATTTGTGAAGCATGTGAATATCCACCATCCTGTTTGTGCATTCATAATGCTGAAGCATTAAAAACAATAAACAGGGTACATTAAAGTTTTCATCACAGTTAAGAAGCGCTGATATGTCTTAAGTCTGACATTAAGATAAATTGGATTTACTTTTCATGTATTTCAAAAAGAACTCACTGGAACATCGGTCTGTGAAGGCTGCCCTCCTGCAGGCTGAGGTCTGAGTGCTGCATTGTCTCTGCTGGGTTCATCCTGAGAACGATCCTTTTTCACTTTCAGATGTTTAGCCTTTGATTGAGATGAATCTGACTCATTGGGTTTAGTTTTTGCTTGGGATGTTTTCGTAGCAACACTGCTAGCGCTCGCTCCTGCCGGTTCCTCTTGTGTCTTCGGCTGGTTTTCTGAATCTGAGTCAGCGGAGGGATCCTGCTCGGCCTCGGATCCTCCTTCCCGCCGTGTAGCATCTGTCTCATCCTCACTATAGACAGGTAGGAGTGTCTCTACTCGCTTTTCCCCGGGTCTTTTGGACGCCCTCTGACGAACTTGATTCCTACCTAACCTGCCTTCATTGGCTTGGTGCCTTGGGGCTTGCTGTGGTGCGTCCCCTTCTTCAAAGCGGTCGCGACCCTCGATCCTCTGGAGCTGAGGCTGATGCGGCTCCAGCTCCGGAGGCCCTGGATCCCTTCGAGGACGTCGCAGAGGTGCAGTGATGCCATGCTGGAAGACTGCCTGCACACTTGCATACAAGACTACCTGTAGAGGAGTAAATATAAATATTCCAGCATAGAGAAACATTGTCTGATATTTTGTATTATTAATATGTCAGTGAGTATTTAATGAGGGTCCTTACCACAATGGAGAGAACGACTGTGAGGAGAACTGGGATCTGCAGGGTAACTGGTAGATCTTTGAGGAGGGCTCGAAGAAATTCACTGATCCCCTGGCCAAAGTGCTTCAGTGGCTCTGTGATGAAGGTTGTGATGGTAACTGAGAACGCCTAAACAGAGAGGGATGTTTAAAATCTAACTCGCGTGCCATTCCCACAGAAATGCCTACATTAAAAACAAATACAAATTTTGGAGTACTGAAGTTTAGGAGGACTTGAGTGTTGAATGGGAACCAATCTGCATGACTCTTATTACAGCAGTGCAACATTTTGGTTCTTTTACGTAGTGATGCCTTGAGAATGAGAATTAATAGTAATGCCATTATTATGTCAAGTTTTTGAGACAAAGCAATAAATAGCCCAAGCAGGTACTCAAAAGACCTACCACCACACAGCAGAGTGACCTACCTTGGTTGGGGGTACCAGCAGAATGGGGTTGACCATGAGGACTTCATAGTATTTCTTACAAGGGTCATCCTGAAGAGTCAATGTGCTTCTGAACCACTCTACAGAGAAAGAATCAAAGTCAGTCTATTACAGCAGCTGAGAGTGCTTTCATCATTCATCACTTCATCATTTTTCCTATTAGTGTTAAACTGTGTCATTATTAGCATATGAATTCTTGAGTTATGGCCAAATATGTGTTTTGTGAGGTCACAGTGACCTTAACCTTTGACCTTAGACCACCATATTCGAATCAGTTCATCCTTGAATCCAAGTGAACCTTTGTTGGATGTAATGAAATTCCGTCTGGGCATTTTCTGATGCATCACATTCAAAAGAGCATGAGGTCACCGTGACCTTGAACTTTGACCTTTAACCACCAAAATCGAATCAGTTATCCTTGAGTCCAAGTGAAAGTTTATACCAAATTTGAAAGAAAGTCCCTCAAGGTGCCATTGACATATCACATTCAGGAGAATAGGACAGATGGACGGACAACCTGAAAACACAATGCCTCCAAACGAATACAGGTACAAACTGATATTGATTCTTCAGGTTTAAAATCTGATAACAATATATCAGTGGATAGAGAATTTTTTCTAACATAAACACGAAACGTACAAATCCCTTTAAAAAAAACTGTAGCCAAGATACACACATTTTACAGATCTGAAGATCATTCAGCCTTTTTACAAAGCTGAGAATTTTGGAGATACGAGTTTTTCACAGAACACCAAGGACATGTAATGTATGTTCCACTTGTTATTGGCTTACCTTTCAGACTATCACTCCAGTCAATTTTCTTCACTCCAGTGCATTTTTCATATACACTGTCCATCTTTGCTATGTCGCTTTGGTGCTCAGCAAATTTAAAACAAATGTAATTGCATTACAAACATCTTATTAGTTTAAAAGGAAGCACTGGATAACAGCTTAAACAAGAGCAAGAGAACTGAAGAGCTACTCACCTTGTAAAGGTAAAACCAGTTCCAGACAATACTGACGAAGAAACAGACAGCAAACAGTCTGCTGAACTGCACGAACCAGGAAACAGTCGACCACAGCTGGGTGCTGATGATGGCTATTATGACCAGAACACCCAGCCCCACCTGAAACACAAGCAGGGAGAACACAGGGAAATTCTTCTTGCATGAGTACTGCGATGACTGACAGATAAAAGCAATCACATAAATCTGCTTTAATCTTTCATTACATGTAAGATCTTCTGTGTTTTCATCTTCAGACATTAACATTTTCTCTCTACATAAACAAGGTACTCAAGTTTGCAATACACTCTTAGTTTCACTTCATACACAGGCAAAAAAAAAAAGACAGAACTTAGACTCTGGTTCAATCTGAAACAGTGAGTCACTTTTTTCCATGGATAGCACGTGACCAAACTATCTCAAAGACTCATAAACAAAGACTTCAGATCAGTGAATGAGCTCACTTTTAACAGCGTGTCAATCTCCACGCCGAAAGTGTCTTCAAAACGCCACTTCCAGGCCTCATAGTCATGTGGTTTAAGATCCACCAGTATATGACTGATGGCATTGTCCAGAGCCCCGGTTCTCCAGTTGTCTTCACCCTCCAGAAGTGTCTGAATCTCTGTCATGGATTGTTTGGACAATCTGATTTTGGCATCATAGAAGAGGTCTGAGGAGTCACTGGGCTGCGGAGAAAAAGGGACAAGTGTGTTCAAACGCCAGTGCCCTGTTTTCTACTATTTGGTGCCAACAACACCTGGGTTCTTCATTATTGAAGCAGAATTATAACATTATATAACATCTAAATAAAAACATATATTACAATTATGTAATACAAAATAAAATGACCACAAACCAAACCAAGTCTTTTTATTTCCTTCAACAGCCTGCTAAGGAATCTCTTGAACACTGGATTGCATGTAGGCTGCTGTGACATGTGTGTGATCTTCTTCTTTTGTTCCTCAATCTGAAAAAAAAGCAAAGCACAATGTTTGTGATGCTTGACTGATTGAGGGAAGGCAGTTTTTTTTTTGCTCATTTGTCATATAGGGATTCAGTTGTCTCCAGCAACATTCATTCACTCCTGGGATAGCAGCACATACATGCAGTGACCAGCAACAGTTGTTTAATTTTGAACTGGTTCTATGATTTTTATTGTTTTCCTAATCTTTGCCAGTTGCTCTCATGTGTTGAAATGCGTCTGTAATGTTTTAACAGAAAAGTCGGGGGTAACTGTCTGTAGCAGAATCACTGGTATGCATCAGCAAGACCCATCTGTTCTATATGACAAAAGATGTCAAAGAAATCAGAGTAAATTCAGCTTCCAACCCTGACATATAGAGTTTGAGATCCTGCTTTTAGTTCCCTTTTTAGAATTACAACAGCCAAAACCATCAGATATGAAAACTAAATAAATGAGGGTATAAACTCAGTCAAGATCTAAATTCCAAAACATTACACATTATTACACATAATTGAATTTATCAGTAAATAGTTTTATGTTGCGTCTCTGTTGCACTCAGGATGTCTTCAGTGATCATCAAATTAAATTAATGACCTTGCCAATACCACATAGAGTGACATTTAATATCAATTTCACAATCATACTGGAAGAATGGAAAACCAGTACGGATGATATGGCTTAGAATATTTTATCATTATATCACATTTTCATCTCGTCACAGCATTATATAACAATAATCCCTAATTATATAATTAATTAAATGAATGCAACCTTGGACTGCCAGTATCCACAGTGTTGTGATATAACCAGACATACTGAATTGCTGTAACTGGTTTCCTCAGTGGAACACCTAGCAATGGATAACACCAAACATCCTGTCTATTGTTTGAGCATACTGGAGACTAGCAAAGGTACAATACTAGGCATAGTCAAAATTCAAGTAATGGTGCTTTTGAATCTGAACCTTTTCAGTGTATTTAAAAACAGGTGTAAAAACTGGAAACTGACATTGAAAGAGGATAGATGTTTGAATGTTTATAATATTATATCTGCATGTTACAACATTTGGGCAGTAGTGTAGAAAAGACACATCAGTTTGTTGTTATAATGATCCGGGCAGGCCAAAACCACTAAGGAAAAAAGTTACTTACTAGCACTACCACCATCTGTATTATAATTCTTATACGTATGTTACATGCTGTTTGAATATTTGGACAAGTGTGTTATATGTGAGTTATCTAGTGACAAAATAAAGCCAAACCACCAACCTGTTTCTGTAGATCCACTACTTGACTGCTACACGTCTCTAACTTGGCCTGGCTGGAGTCCTGAGTGTATTCTCTTCTTTTGGTTGCCACATTGTCATAGGTAGCTGGCTGCGGGTCACACACACGCACGCACGCACACACACACACACACACAAACACACACAAGTGATATCAGAATGGCTTCAGAGTATTCAGAGTAATAACAATGTTGACAAATGTAAGTACAGTCAGTGTAGACCTCACCTCAGTGGGCTTCCTCATCGTTTTGGTGCTTGAATCGTAGTTGAGCATATCATAAGGGTCGACCCAGTCGTCGTTCACCTGCTGCCCCACGGCAGCCAGTGACAAGCAGCACACCAGAACACTGAGGAACATCCTGGCAGAGAGGCACGTACTTCCCAAACGAACCGTCTTGCTTTTTAGCTAACTAGCCCCGTGGGTGCAAGTGAAACAAGTTCAAGAGGTCAACAGTGAATTTGTGAATAAGTTTTGTTGTAACATAAATGTCTGCTCTAACTATATAAAACAACTCATCATTGCGACTACAAGGTACCGCCAAACAGGAACTGCTTTCCGGGAAAACACTTTGACACAACGGAAGTTACGTATTTCGCAAAGGAGCATGGGAAATGTAGTTAGTCACGGGTACAAAACGGTACAAAAGGATTGCATGTTCTTCTCTATGTTCCTCTAATGAATTTCCGGCAGATGTATGTGGTTGAAGTAATTTAAGACTTTTTAACTGTTGGGTTGTTTGATTTATGTATCATCATATACATAGCTGTATATAGCTATGTATATATATATATAGCTATAAAATATCAGTTGTAAAATAAATATGGTAAAATTATAAAGGAATAAAAAATAGTAAAAAGAAAATACTCCAATAATATAGAAACCTAAAAACTGTACTTGATTAAACAGTTCTACAGCTTGTGTTAAGTGTGCATACCACATTACAGTGAACTGATGGTGCAAAATAGCTACAAGGACACCGAAGTCACAGCTGGTTAAACAGTGAGATTTACTGGCAATGATTGATAATATCTGGATGCAGATTAAAAAACACAAAAGGGAACTATAAAACTAGACTAAGACTAAGCTGATTTAAATTTATACAGCAGGAAATGGGGATGTCATTATCTCTTCCAGATAGTTGTTAGGTGTCTATTTAGTATTATGAGGAGAATCTTTTTGTTTGAATGTTTTTGTTTTTTTCCCAAATGACAAGTGAACAAAATTCTGATCCCATTTCTGTATTTGAGATTCAGCCTAATTTGTGATCTGTGATCAAGACTACAAAATATAGCCTGACAACTGCTATCATGACACTGAAACCTGGTCACCTGGTGTATCACACACCTGGGAGATTGGAGCTTCAAAGTCCAGTCTCTCTAATTAATATAAAGTAACCAATGCAACTTGTGAATCTGTCGGTTTCATTTGAGTCATACTGAGCAATCCATATTATTACTTAAATGACATATGAATGACACTGAAATGACAACTTATTCCAACAAAACATGTTTATTGCAAATATGTGTATTTAATATTTACAAACTCTGTTGAACATATTTATTGTTATTGTGTTAAACATGTTTAACAGTTCAGCTCTTCGGTGAAACAGCTCCATTCGAGGAGCTCAAGGCAAATAATCTACATCTTCAGAAAGATGTAACCACAACACCAGCACTGTAATACCTATAGATCATAGCTCTAGTGTCCTGTTCAGGGGTTTAAGGAACCTCAGCAAAGGTTGCTAAAAAGAGGGCATCCATGTCAATGGCCAAAGTTCAGTGTGTCCATGATACAGGAGCCCATGGTGTGAGACCCATCTCAGCTCACAAAGCTCCATAAATGCTTACCTGCACACATGAGTCCAGGCAATGTTTAATCGTTAGATAGAAAGGCAGGACTGCAAGAACGTTGTGGGTTCAAATTTATTTTCCTTTTCGCCCTTTACCACCCTTCACTCCTCCTTTGCCACCCTTTGACGGCCTTCCTTTGCCTTTGCCACCTTTTCCTTTGCCTCCTTTAGCATGTTGGTCTTTCCTCTGCATTCCCCGCATGTCTTTCTTCATGCGACTGTCCACCACTTTGAAGACTCCCTTGACACCAGGCGGCCGTCTCACCTTCTTGCCGGCTCCCTTTTTGCTCACAACGTATGTTACTTCTCTCTTCTCCTTTCCAACCCCTGCTTTCTTGTAGATACTGAAAGAATGACGCAAACACAAAAGGCAAAATGACTGAAAATTATAATATCGCACAATAATGATTTCCTTTTGAGGTGCGGCTCCAACCCTACAGGTGTGATGTCATACCTCTTTAGCTGAGCCATCTTCTCCCTTTCAGAGATGTCCACTGTATTGACAACTGCCTCCGCTTTCTTCTTAGCCTGCTCCATCTTTTTCAGCATCTAGAAAAGTCACAGAGAAATTGATAGATTAAGTTTATTAAAATTAAAAAGTTTTGAATATTTTTGTGCAACACCATATAGATCCAGTAGCTGTAATATTTTCAATAATAATCCAGTTTTATCATCTTTTGGTGTCTTCAACATCTTTTTAATCATCTGTCATCAACAGTTGCACCGTTGTGTGATTTTTCCTCGACTTACCCTCCTCTTCTTCCTGGCCTTGGCCTCAGCAACTCGTTTGATAGGTCGGGAATCGATCTCCTTCCATTTCTGTTTGTACTCCTCCACCATCTCTTTGGTGACTGGCACTGGCTTCTTCCGGTGTTTGCGTTCATCGTCCAGGAACCACTCAGGAACCTCCCACGCCTCGTCGGAGTTTGCAAACCTGCAGGAGCATACAAGAGGTTTGTTGCACAGGTACATACGATACTGGTCATCAGAGCGATCGCGGATAGCTCATGTCTTTGCCAATGTCAAGGCAATATTTTGCTTGTTTTCCCATTGAAGTATTAACTTACATATTCAGGGTAAAAAACATTTTGTATGATTGACTCATAATAAACTTACAATGCCACCCTTAGACACATTTTTGAGAACAATAGAGACCTATGGCACACACGAATAAGATACAACACAGCAGAAATACTTACATCAGTTCATTGTTGGGAAAGAAAAATACAGAGATCACCAACCTCACACTTTGCTTAAGCTTTGTGAGACAATGTGAATCAGTTGGAAGGTAGGCACACTTTGAACCACAACACACACACACACACCTATGAAAGGAGCTGTCCACCAGGTCCCTGGCTCTCTTCTTAGACGTAGCAATCTGACAGCCGAGGGCCAGGCCTTCTGCATCTAGGATCCTGGCTTTCTTACCTGAGGAGTGCAAAACATACACACATCCACAAAGTTACACATAACAGAAAAAAGCTGAAGCAGTCTCACAGGTTCATTCTCCATTTTCTCACTCATGTAACCCAGCTGACATATGCAAATGTGTAAATTTGCTTTATAAAAAAAAAAAAGCTTCTTACTCTGACTGTGTTTTAAACATTTGGTTTTATCAGCAGTTGTTGAAGTAAGAGGATGACCACCTGACAGTGGAATGTCATGAATGGGCCAGCCAAATATCTGAAATTTACACTAAGCGATTCCCGTCACTCACTGGTGCTTTCTACAGGAACAACCTGGAAGTCGTCGGCATCGGCTTCTCCTGACATCCCAGCAGCCCCCCTGGCCTGCTTCATCCTGGTGATCTCCCTGGAAAAAGGAAAGTTGAGCAAAGTTTTGTGTGATTTATTTGTATATCGTTTTAGCACTGAGCATTGTTTATGGGAATTATTTGAACAACAAAGGGGTATACAACAGTGAGTTTGAACAACATGGAAATTAAGCTCATTCATTTTAAATCAATTTTCCTTCCATACATTATATACTGCTTGAACACAAAAAAAAAACAAAAAACAGAATGAACAGCCATAGTAAATGAGGTTTTACTTCTCATCGTCGCTGCTGTCATCTGAGTCGCTGTCACTCTCCTCCTCAGCTTCCTGTGAAGGTCCTGCCTTTTCCTCCTCTGGCTGAGCAGTTTCCCCCACTTCCTCCTCTTCCTCCTCAGCTTTCCTCTTTTTGCCTTTTCCTATAAAAAAAAAAAAAAAAAAAAAAAAAAAAAAAAAAAAAAGGGTTATTATGTCAGCCCCAGATTTAGGAGAGCTACTATCCTTGTAAAATTGACGCAGTTTGTTTTTTTGTGGCGTAGCTTTAATGAATTGTGGACATATATTCTAGAAGAAAAAAAAAAAAAGACTTAATGAACGTGTGAATGAGGAGAAAGCAGAGGCGGTTACCTGTCTGTTTGCTCTGGAGCCACTCTGTCTGCTGGAGCTCGCTCTCTGCGTCTCCTTCCAGGTCGATCTCAGAGAAGATGCCCTGCAGAGCAAAAGGGCGCCGGGATCACAGTTCAGAGATCACACAGAAATCAACTCATTTGCAGGTGAAAGCCATGAGTGTGATCAGCAATGAGGTGAAGGAAGAAGCAGGTGACCAATCATAGCGTAGCATCAAACAGTGGAACTGTTGACGGCAAAAGAGCAGCCGAGCTGTACATGTTGCATTATGGGAGCGTGCACAGACAGACCTTGCTGAACCACAGGCTGGTCTCTCGTTCTTTCTTCTCGTCCTTTCCCTCCAGCTCCACCAGCAAACCACTCTCCTGCCCTTCATCCTCCTCCTCTTCCTCGGCGAACTGTACTCTGGGAAATACATACACAAAATTAGCAGATAATCACAAACTAAACTAGAGAATGATTCCTGCTTGTGGGTGAGTAGGACATTATTTCCAGAAACTGTCAGGAGCAGGAATCCAAATAGAGCACTGATCTTTTTTTCATGAAGTATTGACTTATATGGTACAAGATTAAATGAAAAACAAAATGTTTAAACAGGTTGCACCAGTTTAGTTGGTTTAAATTTAATCCTTAATTCAAGGGCTGAAATTAATACAGTCAGAGCACAATGAAAACAGAGTACGAACAGCACTCATGACTTCAGAGTAACAATTCTGGGATTCAGGTCGCAGGTGTCAGTAAAATAAAGTAAAACGCAGGATCGTTTCTGTCTCTGAACAGCTACTTACTTCTTCTTTGGCGCTTTCTTCTCCAGCGCTTTCTGTCTGTGCTCCACCTCTTCCATCTCCTCTTCATCTAAATCAGAGGCCAGGGACATTTTATCTGCATCGTCATCCTCTTCCTCAGACAGGTGAAGGTCGTCCTCTTCATCTAACAGAGTGTCTGCTGCCTGCATGTCCCCCTTGGATATATCAGCCAGCGCCTGATGAAGACAGGTTAACATGAGAGGAACATTCAGATGGCACTGATGAAAGATTCAGCTGCATCTCTGCGTAAACTGGAACAACGGTCAAATTTAGTAGCAGTTCAAAAAGTCCTCAGGAGTATTTACATCTGTATTTTGTTGAGTTCTGGCTGGTGACAAAAAAGGGAAATAAAACTCTAATGGCAAGAGTGTAATAAAAACAGTGGTTCATTACCTTTTGCTTCTTGACGGTGGTGAGGGAAAACAAGGATGAGTCGTTGCCGTCAGCGATGGAGATGCCCGGCAGGTCCATCTTCAGCTCCACCCTCTCCCTCTGCTTCCTCCGCTCCTTCAGCAGCTTCCTCTTCTTCCTGATGGAGCATGACAGTTATACAAAATCTGTTTTCTCAAGAAATGTTTTTTTTCACTAAATCCACATCGAGGGCAACGGTGTCACTTTTCCTATGGCTGTTAAATCAGCAGCAATAGTACCTCACTATCTGATCCATGGGGTCTGCTGCAACTTAGAACTGTTGATTAGAAACTACAATGATCAATACGACTGTGCAGAAGCATCCAGACAAATTCAGCACAAAGTAGAAGAAAGGAGGAAAACTGAAATTTGAAAATCCTTTTTTGGATTTTAATAGGCACCTTAACCCATCAATTGAACAAGCAACACATTAGTTGCAGAAAATAGAGAAAAAATAAAAGTCTTGAGTAAAAAGAAAAGAAAGTTTGCCATACCGTTTCAGGTCAGCCACCTCCTCAGCTTTCATCTCTGCCAGTTTCCTCTCCATTTCTTCCTCCTCGTCAGTGTCCACTTCCTCCTCCCCCTCTCCTTCTACTTTCTTCTTGTCTGGCTCTTCCTCTGAATTACTCCCATCTTCATCAGAACTTAAGCTATAAACAAAGCAGAGAGGATTTTTGATCTGCTGTGACACATCCTGGCAGAGACATAACAATTTTTCAGAAGCTTTTTGTAAATGTGCTGTGAAGAGTTGTTTACTTGATCTGCTGGTCAAGCTGTTTGGCCTCCTGCTTCAGTTTCCTGGCCAGGTATCTCCTCAGCTTGGACCTCCAGTTCAGCAGCAGGCTGCAGATGTGAGGATAGGGGGAAAGAAGAAAACACACAGACGTGCAAAGCTTGAGTTATTAATCATGGCATTCAATGTGCAATAAAAACAGCACAGAACAAGCTGTTGTTTTTCTAATGCACAAACCTCAGCAGTGACCCACATACAAAGGACTTACCGGAGTTCTTTACGGCCCAAGACTTTGATGTCCCGACAACACTCCTTTATCTCAAGACTGGTGGCTGAGTGAGACTCCAGGTCTGGGTTGTCGAAGGTGATCTGCGTGAAAAAGACAGAGTGAGAATACAGGCAATACAGGAAAGCTTTTCTTTAGCTCGATTTTTCTGTCTCTTCACTAAATGAGGCGAGTCATCCTCCACTGCATACCTAGTGGAGGTAGTACAGATATCTCACCTCGCTGGCTTTACCCAGGAAGTCCACTGCGTTGTCGGCTTTGAGAAAGGCTGTCACTGTGAAACTGTGGTAGAGCGTCAAATCACCGTCTGTGTATCCCTCCGCCTGAACAGAAGAAGAGCTGTTTGGTCAGTAACGGATGCAATCTTGGAATCAAAAAGTAGTAAAATGTTTGCGGGGGAGAACCGTCACATCACATCAACACCATAGCAAATGGCGGGTAAACTGCCATTCAGGTAATAACAGATCATGGGGGGAAAAAATTCAAATTTGGCATTTTTGTGTGACAGTTCTAGTGCTCATCTAGTAATCCATCATCCCATGCGGTGTACATGCCTTTGGCTTCTTGACAGGAATCAGCTCCCTCACAGTTTTGGCCTGCACCTCCACCTCTTTGAACGCATGCTTGGGGTCAAAGAATTTACCGTCGATTTTATCCGGGGCAACAAAGCCTGGTGAGGAAATAAACAAATTGGCTTTAGATGCGATCTGCAGAAGTGACCAAAGAAAGAGGCTAAAATCCAGTCGAATGACTGCCAGACAGTCACTGACCCTGACAGATGACAAAGATCTCGGCGGACTCGTTCCTAGACGCTTGCGGCTTGGTGGCCTGCACCTTCTTGAAGAACTGCTGGAAGATCCAGAGCAGTGGCTGGTAGTCTTTGGAGCGGAAGACCTTTGTGACGAATGTGCCACCTTTGGTCAGAAACTCACAAGCCAGTTTCAGAGCCATGAGGGTCAGATGAGCTGGTGGGGGAGAGGGGAACAGAAGGAGATTTTAGGGCCGTTAGGTTCCAAAACCATCCATCATGACAGCCGGGTGTGCCTTTCTTAAACTACTCAGGGATCGAAACACAAGCAAACATGAGGAAATAATGGTAATTTCATTTTCCTTACAACGTGCAAATGTTGATGTACTTTTATCAATTTTTATCACCACTTATTGGATAACCACAATAAGTGTGTTTTTTTAGCCTGTATTAGCTGGAAATAATAACTTTTGGAGACGTGTGATTGGAAATTTCAGTCTAATGTCCTGAAACTTTTGCTTTTACTGTACTTACCTTGTGAGAAGGCATCATGTTGCCAGTTGGCTCCCACATTTGGAGCTCCATCATTTAACACCACATCAACCTTCCAGGTCTGCAGCTCCTTTCGTAAAGCCTGTACACGGGACGGACGGTATGTCACTTAATAAATCCATGTTAAGAACTATTGTATAATATGTGATTTTAGAGACATCTGATCTTTGGAAAACTGTGCAGCTTTCAGGTGAAAAATACAAACCCTATTTGTACACTATCTTTTTCTATTTCTATTAAATTGATCATGCCTGACTGGGGCGGCTGTGGCTCAGGAGGTAGAGCGGGTGGTCGACTAATTAGAAGATCTGTAGTTCGATCCCCGGCTCCTCCAGGCCGTATGTCGAAGTATTCTTGGGCAACATACTGAACCCCACGTTGCCCCTGACGACTGTTCCATCAGTGTATGAGTGTGATGTATAAATGCGAGTCAGTAAGGCAAGAAAAGCGCTATGTAAGTGCAAGTCCATTTACCGTCACTCTGTAAATATCATTGTATGTAGCACTGCAGCCAAGACACCAATGTGTTTTCCTTCAGTGATCATCTGACCTCTGGAGCAGCTCTCTCACCTGTCTGCATTTCTCAGTGGTGATGTCTTCTTGCAGCGTCACCACATTGGGGATGGGCTTGATGGGAACCAGGTCAACACCTGACAGGAGGAAACAATTTAATTACATTTTTACATTTCAATTTAAACATTCATTTGCATTATATCTGGGTCACTGTCATTGATTCTAACTGGGGTTTTTCCAAACAAATAAATGACACTAGAGCTAAAACCGTTATTACCATTATTATTGTATAAAACCGTTTATTAACAGATCAATCCACAGAAAATTGTCAACTATTTCAATGTTCAGTTAATTGTTTATGTTCATTTCTATGCAAAAAATAATATTTCAGGCTTCTCAAATGTATTGAATTGCTGGTTAACTTAGTCCTCTATATTAAACTAAATATCTTTGGATTGAGGATTGTAGGTTGGACAAAACAAGCAATTTGAATATGACAATTATACTTGTGGAAATTTTCTAATGCTTTGTGGACCATACAATCAGTAAAGTCATTGACAGATTAATCGATCGAAAAAATATCATTAATTGCAGCCCTAACTGAGACTGATCAGCACAACTTTATTTGTAACGGATAAAAAGGCAGAGATTACGGTAGATTGATGCTAAAATATGATGCTTTTAATCAATTTAGAGCCATAGAAGCAGATGAGAACAATTATTAAGTTTAGAAAACTGAACCAAAACAAAGTGAGAACACCGTACTCACCAATAATGAGACTTGAAACTGGCATAAACTTGGACGCTACCTGTAACCTGCGAGGAGAATTTTAATTATCAGTGTCTTTAGATGTACTCATACTCCACAACACACATCATTCATTTGTTTCATTAGACAGACCTACAAATACACACTGTTGGCAGTTAATCCTTCTTCATGACGGTTGTAATGTTCAGTTTGTGTTGAAACTGTTTTAGAGAGGTGTTGATTCTACTGCATGATCTATTATTTAGCCTGTACTCATTGATATAAAGTCAGTGGACAAAATAATAACTTAATGAAGCTGGGAATCACTGCAGAACTGCTGTATTAGACTACACTGGTAAACTTTTGCGACTGCAGCAGCCCTAAATCAAACCTGAAGGAGGGTTGAACCACCATGCTTTATAGATGATCTATTTTCTGATCTTAGACAGTATTGAATTAACACACAACAAGCTGTTCGCCACTGACCAGGGTCCCCAAACTGTGTTTAATTTTTGTTCCTCTACGGAACAATGACTGCTTCAAGCCCTTGACAAAGTTGTCCACTAATATAAAGCATCTGATCAGGTGTTGACAGGCAGCTCACCATCCACCCGGAGCAGCACATAAGTCGACCAGAGCTCTGGCTTTCTGCAGAAACGTAAATTTACGGTTGAGCTGGATGAGTTTGAAGGAGGAACGAGAGCGATAGCCTGAAAAAGACAAGACAGAGACAAGCGAGTTAACTGGCAAGCCTGCTGAAGCTAATATCTAATGCTCGTTATCTTTTCTGAGAGTGGTACATTACCTGTTTCTTTAGCCAGGTGGTAGAATTTATCTTTTCGGGTCTTTCCGACTTTGAGTTTCTTCCCCATGTTTGTTGCTGAGGTTTTACAGTGGACTCTAACACAGAAATATCACACTTTTGTCGGGACTCACAGCACTCACACCATGTACATGAAAACAACACGTGTTTGTGCCCGAACACGGATGTTCCGGGTCACACTGCCACGATTTCTTCTTCTTCTTCTTCTTCTTCTAGTTTGTTATCGTTCACAGGACGCTACCGCCACCTGCTGTCTGCAAGTCCAGCCTGCAGACCCTATGTATGAAATGAAATGAGACGAAATTAAATTAAATTAAATTAAAACCATAATATACAGGACTAAACTTACAACATCGGTGGTAAGAAGTCACTCAGGCTACATTTAATTAAGTACTGTACTGAAGTACAGAATTTCTACTTATACAAACCAAACCTGAATTCATAAAATATGTTTAATTGCTGTAATTCAAACTAGAGCTGCAACAATTAGTGGACCAAAAACAAATTAATCATAATAATTTCTCCATAGAGTATATAGTCATTTTTCAAGCAAAAATTCATTTCAAAACATTTTCTGGTGTCAACTCCTCATATGTTATGATTTTCTTTTTCTTTTTTCTGTTTGTCATTGCCATTTTTACCACTCCAATACAGTGGGGGCCAAGTAAATGGAGTTTGGTTTGCAGTACTCATCACATTAAAAAGATGACCATCTTCTCTTCAGAAACAAGCTTATTTAACCACAGACCTCACACTTTCTACAGGAAAAACACTCACAATGAAAACTGATGAATAAAATTCATACAGATCCATTGTATTGGGGTGGCAGCATAAATCTCAGACAGATATCCATCTATAAAGCCCAGACAAAAAAAAAACAAAAAAAAAACTGTCTGACTGATAAGATGCCTCAAAACTTAATAAATATTTATTTTTGTCATTTGGGTGAAGTGACTACTTAATGCATCAAAAATTTCACACTGACAGGGACCAAGTTTAATAATTATGAATATTAGTTTTAGTTTGTTTAGTATGTGATATTATTGTATCATGGACTCCACTACAGTTGGAACAATAAACACAACAGAAACCATCTGGTGTAAACTATGTGAGGCAAATTGGAGAAACAAGTAACACACTGGTTTACATTTTAATCAATGCTTTATTTCATTCATTTTCATTACAGCCGCATGAATGTCGGGAGACAACACCCTTCAGTGAAGAACACAGCTGTCAGAAAGGCCTGTTTCTGGATCGTGTGTTGATCAGTCCCAGGACAGAGAAGGCACTGGCTGCTGCCGTCACCAAACTGATGGCCCCAATGGCCCGTGTAGCCTGAGGAGACAAATAGAGGCAGAGGAGGTGGACTCATTTAGGATTACTATAAAGGAATAGCAAAGATCAGAACAAAGCAATACGCAATAATGGGATTATAAACAGATGTACATATCAAAAATATGTCTATTGCTTATGAGAGGAGAAAGACACTCCAACAAACCAACACATGCATCTATTACAGAACAAAGAGTGGGCTTACATTCAGTATGTTACATGTGTCTGGAACACACTGAACACAAGAATGGGCAGCAAAGATTTTAGAGATATTTCAATAGTTTTTTTTCACCATAAAACTGGTCACTATTGGAAACTGCTGTAACCTTAATTAATTCAACCTGACCACAGCTGCCATGCTCTGTGAAGATGGAAAGTACAAAAACTTTGGCCACATTGACCCCATTTCAAAGCTACGGGCTTGATTGTTTGGCACTCCAAATATAGATTTTTGGTGGAGTATCCTTTTAATGTCTTTCCAGACATCCCATAACTTTAACCACTCCAAACTTCTGCATAAATCAAACCGGCCAAACTTATTTAAGGATGTATACAGGCCCAGTGATTGTATTATCTGACTTAATGGATAGATCCCTGTCCAGTTAAGAGGAAATACTCGTTGTGTTTTTGAGTGAAGTATCCCTTTATGTAAATAATACATCACTTACTGTGGACAAGAAAGTGACCATATCTGTCACCAGAACCAAATGTTGTTTGGGAAACAGGAACAATATTCATGTTTTCAGTTTAGGGGGTTGATGCACTCCTCTCTATTGCATCCCGCTTTGTTACTTGACTTGTGATAAAACAGGTTAATTTTTACAGTAAAATATTGACCAGTGCTCTGGCAAACAGAACAACCAGTCAATGACAGACAACAAAAAATGTAAAATTTACTTTATGGTAAAGTTAACTTTGAAATCACTTCAGTTTTAAATGTCCTGTTTTGTTCTAAAAATGTATTTCACAAACGGTGACAGTGGTGACATTAAGGGTTCATGAAAAGTATGTTGTCCTGATGACACATGAGACAGAGACACAACAAACAGTGAGAGACCTGCTCGGACACCCCCTCCCCATAGCGCAGAAGGGTAACAAAGTGCTCGCAGTTGCTCCCCAGCAGGTCGTAAGACACCTCCTGGCCAATGAGGACTTGCGCTCGCTGGATGATTTCACAGACGGGCAGGGGTGTGTGGTTATGGTCATACTTGTTGTTGACACGGTACGTATCGCTTCCCACCACCTCCTTAAGCAGCTGCATGCGCACCACTGCCTTCCTGCTGAAGACGGACTTCACGCTGGACATGGCGGCTGCCTGGCTCTCATCTGCAGAGGAGGAGAAGAGCTTTAGTGGGATAACATCTACCCAGTTCTTTTTTCTAAAGAGTGTAAAGGGAGAGCTTTCATCTAGAACCAAAAGTGAATATGTTAAGATCTTGAAAAAAGTAAAGTAAGGCAGATATTGTGGATCGTGGACAAATAGATAAGTCTTACTGTTTCCACTATTCAAATGTCTCTCTCAAATTAAATCGAAGGCAACTGGAGCTTGAGGTGTAAATGAAAGATGCTGAAGTTTTTACCAATGAAACAGGGGAAACTACTCCAAAACCAGTTGAAAGTGAAGTTCACTACACACAACACCTTTGCAAAAAAAAAGGCACATTTACACTGAATTGAAATGATTTTTAGAGGACGTTAGGTTGACTTTCCTCCCAGTCAAAACATAGCAAAAGCTGGGAGAGGCCAAATGCTTGATCTGACTGTGACCTGCAAACAGGGATAACTGGGAGCAGCCATCTAAATATAACTGTGTTTAAAGGGGGAATGCAATGACACTCTAATTATCTAGATTTTAAGTAAAGTATCACATTTGAATTAAAACAAAGAACTTTAGTGCCCCTGGGTGGCTAGTCATATTTATCAGGATGGCTGGGTAAAGGTGGCAAGTTTCATGTCAGTTAAAGTTAAAAGCTTTTTTTCTTTTTTAAAAAAAATTCAGTCTGGACTGAAGGCTCCTACTGACCAACAGGAGTTAAGTTGATGATGTAGCCGTCTCCAAGGTACAGAGCCCAGTGCTGATAGGCTGGTCTGAAGATCTCAATGAGGTCGCCAGGCTGGGGGTCACCAGAGGGGTCAGGAAGGTCAGGGTCATTAGAGGCCATCTATGCAGGGAGCGACAGAGACAGTTTTACGCATTAATTGTTTTCATGAAAGACACAGAGAGCTCAAAGTGGTCTGTATGTGTCTGTTAGAAAAAAAAAACATTTGGTTATAAAATATGGAGTAATTGTAAATTTGGAAAATTCAATTTCAAAATTACTAACCATTCTTTCAATATCAAAACGATTCCATACTATATAAGAAACATCTGATAAATAATAAATTAAGAAATTTAAATCCAGTTTTTCTTCCAAGCCCTCGTAAACCCTATAGCTGCTGCATCACATGTCTAAATTATATATAAATGCTACAAATTAAGGAGACTAGAGCTGTAAATAGATTCTTGAAACTGACCGCTGACTCACACATGTGTCTTCTTTGGAGATCATTAAGGTCACTCATACAACATCTTTACAAATCCACATTCACCAATCATAAAAACCCACATTGTCAAAGTAGAATTCGTATACTAACCGCCTTTCAGTCAACTTACAGTAGAGTTTCGTTGTTGTTTATCCATCCCACATCATGCTTCCACAAATTCTAAAAAGAGACGAAACAGAGAGAGGATGTTCTCATGTCATCTGCTGAAACAAAATTGGTAACCAGTGAATGTGAATCTGACAACTGAGAAATAAAAAATAAAAAAATGTCATACTTAGTTTGCAGTAAGGCCAGACTCAAAAGGCAAATAACTAAATTCCCAGAGAAAGAGAATGCTAAATAGGATTTTACACAATGTAAAGGTCACCCATACATACTCACACAGACAATACACACTAGCTCACACACAGACAATACACACATAAGCTGTTGTGTCACCTATGCTGGCACAATAGCACCAACACAATGGGGAAGCTGACAGAAAAATAGTTTGAGCCCAGGTTATCTCACATAGAAAAAAAAAGTCACTCAAAAAAACCCGTAAATTTATATTTTCACAAATCATTCCCACGGTTTTCATTTGTGATTTTGTTTGATGAATTGCCGTAAATCTTTCAACATAATTGTTAAAATGATTAAAATTTCTAGGTTTTCAGTCAGCTCCACAGAGACAAGGGTTTGGTTTGGATCAAAATTACATGTGGATGGGATGAAATCTATATCCGACCAGGAGAGCAGTTAGTATATCCATCTCATCATTAATGTAAGATGCTGAAGCCATGCTGCTGAAAAAAGAAAGGCACCTATTATTTAACTGAACCAAAACTCCATTGGCATTGGTGGGGTGTCACTAACATGAAAACATACATTTTAGTGTAATTATATGGGAACTGTGCAGTAATTTTACCATATTAAAAACTAAAAACATACTGTTATTATATATATATATGTATATCAAATTCTGTATGATAATATAGAAATATCATATGAAATATAAAAACAAAGAATCATAGATACTTTTAAAGGTTTTTGTTGTAATGTTGTAGCATCATTATAGTGATTTTATTAAGGCTAAGAGCTGAATTCATGTCAGGGGCCCCAACAGCCAACAACAGAGCAAATGCATACAGGAGTAATACTTACTCAAACACCAGCAGCTTTTTCTTCCTCACCATTTTAATTCTCCATCATAAATCCGCACATAATCATAAAAAAAATCCAGCAAGAAGAGAGAAAGAGAACAAGATCGATTCCAAGTTTCTGAGGTGACAAGCGGTTTTCAAATATCCCAGAGCCAAACAGAGGCTGGAGGTCTTAGTGGAGGTGTTTTAGTGTCCGCTGCTCTGACTGATGTCGATTTGCCACAGTTGCTAAGGTCACACACACATATACACACAGAGAGGCGTTTCCTCTCTGGCATTGTCCCATTCACAGGCTGCTCTTCTGAATAGCAGTCATTGTGGGCCTGCAAAGGCAACACATATGTGACTCGTTTCATTTACATGCTGTCTGATCTCTGTGTATAGAGAGGTAACATTAGTGCAGCAGCTCATGTGCATGTTCATATACTCCTTATTGCAACTTACAATGTGTCTATGGTTTTTTGAACTTGTTTTTCCATGAGGTTTCCACAGTAAATAAAAATAAATTTCTCTAATCTAGTTTGGTAAAAGACAATACTGATGGTCCAGGATGTACAACACCTCACACCCGAATAGACTCCAGTCCCTTTTTGACCCTGCACAGGATAAACAGGTATAGATAATGGTAGGATAGGCGGACAGTGGTATGGTTGAACCAATGCACCAGTTTGGTAATATATGGTGTTGACACTGGTCTGAAAAATCAGACACCATGCTGAGAGTTCCTCAGAGTCAAAAAAAAAAGGTTGGGATGCTGACATGAAATAATATTTACTGGGAGCTGGTTGGAGATCTCTCTTCCCTCATCTTCCCTTACTAGTGGCAGCAAGTGGGGAGAGAAGGGAAGATTAGAGTCTACTAAATATTATTATATTATGGATGCAAATGTCGTGCAGTCAGTCAAGAAACTGAAAGTGAAAACAGGCTGGCTCCTACAACAGGACAATGAATCAAAGCAAAAATCCCCATTAGCTACTTCAAGAAACACAAGCTAAAGCTTTTGGAAAAGCCCTCACAGTCTGCTTACCTGAATATCTCTGAAAAATCTGTGGGTGTTCAAGACAGTCTAAAATCTGAACTGAGTGGCCCGCAGGAAGACCTGGTGATAATTAGATTAAGAATAGAAAGACTCTTAGATGGCAACAAAAAACATTTGCAAGCTGTGACATCTGGCAGAGGACTAAAATGTAGATGTAGCACATTTAATTTCTGAAATTGTTTTTCATGCTTTTCATGTAGCAAACCTGTCTTGGTCGTAATTAATTATACCCTTGGTTTTTTATTGTACTGGACAGGTACAGTAAAGGAAATGCCAGGGGTTGGATGCATTCTTTGCTCATTGATTGGCTGCTGCTCGCTAACCTTTTCGTCACTTGTCTCCGCCCCCCTGTCATAATGAAATACTGTCACTTTGTCAGTAACTACAGTTAGCCTGAACAGAGCAGGAAGTTTGTTTTCAAAATAAAATCAAAAACAAGTGGATGCAGCAGGACTGTATATAAAATCATTGTATGCCAGTTAAATTGGCAAATGTATTACATGCTAGCAGTAGTGTGGTAACTGAGGACTAGAAAAATGTCTGATTTCACTTATGACATCAACTAGGCATGAATTTAAAAAAAGCTTCATTCCTTTTTTTTCTGTTTGAAGAAAATCTTTATGCTACCTGCTGCATCATTTTGAGTAATTACGTTTTTGATCTTCCCTTTTCTTCCTAAATTGTTCAATAAAAATCATTGATAAAAATGATAATCAGTGATAAAAATATACTTTGAAACAGTCAAATGAAACAACAGTTGCCATAAAATATCAACCTAAAAATAATGATAATATGCCTATAAATACTGTTAAATCAAAACCACAAGCAGAGGTGAATCAGTTGAGTTATAAAGATAACGACCACAGGTATTTAAAACATATGCAAGTCAGCAGGAGCTATCCAAACACACACGATGTCAAACGGGTTTTCTTTTGAAATTTGTTCCGGAAACGTACTTCTTATAGTAACTTGCCTGACAGCGGTGCCACTAAAGGATACAAACAGAAGGTTAGCCAAGCTGACAGCAAGTAATCTATCAGCGGGGAAAGGGATTCTGTGCTTTGCCGCAGCGGATCGGTATTGTTTGTGTTATGAGAAGAGGACACTGGCTGTCTTAGGACTGTGGTAAGGAAATAATACCGGTAGTTACAAATGCTGCTAATGCTAGCTTGCTACCGCGAAGCTGCTTGTAACATTAGTTAGCTTAATCTGTTAGCTTGCTCGGCAGCGCCACGCGTCCTCTCTATTAATTTAAGAATTTCGCATATTAGCCATAAATAGCTTAGAAAATAAAAACATTTGTATCTTTTGTTACGTATGCCAGTTAGATATTGGACGTTATTCTCGTATCTTTTTGCTAATTTATGTGATGTATTCACAACCGTTTGATAACTTAGCTATTAAGTTATTAAGTTATCAGCAGCTAGCTGTATCGAGCTCGTCACTCAGCTTACCTGCAATTTAAAAGTTGCCTAAAAAGTTGTGCAACTGCAGTTTTATGATAAACCTAAACCACCCAGATTGATCTAAACAATATTACATATTAACATAAGTAAAATATTATGACTACAACGCTAAGTGTATTGTTCATGTCCACTGACATAACTGTCTTTGCCCTTTTTGACCCTCTCTGTCTTCAGATTGAGCACCATGGCTGCAGCCCCTCCACTCAGACGGACAGATTCAGCTCGGGGGGAGTTTTCCCCTCTGAAGCACTTTGTTGTAGCCAAGAAGAAGATTAGCGATGTGTTTGAACAACTACTGAATTATGTGAAAGAGACTTCAGAGTTTGTAGAAGGTGAGAAGCTTTGCTCATCTGTTTACCACTTTTCAGTGAGCACCAGTAGGTAATGTTTAATTTACTGGAAAATCATTATGTTAACAGGATTGTAACACTGACAGCAGAAATATCCTTTTATGTTTAAAAAAAAAAAAAAGACATGTTTGTCATCTGTCAGACAGCTCTGACAGTCTGAGTGAATGGTAAAGGAGGTATTGTGTTTCTCTGATGTGGTTTGACTGTTGGGTCAACAGAAACCTGTGGGAATAAAGCTTTGGAGAACATTGCGAGTCAGGATCAAAAGTTGGAGATTCAGGCATATGCTGGCAAACTTGCCATCATTAAGGAGGTGCTCGCTCGCAGACACATGAAAGTTGCCTTTTTTGGCAGGTAAATACATTTATACACATGTTTTTTGTGTAAAGAATATCATCTTTAATGCTTCTCTGATGTGATTCTCAGTCTTTTTGATAAGAGCTGCCTTTATAGACATTAAATGTATGTTAGTTAATCTAGTCCCTCTAAATATTCATGTGGCTGTTTTGCTTTCACTTTTATTTTTGCAATAGCAGGGCGTGTCTGAGAAAAGCCAAGAGATTTCATACGCATGATTAAAACAGCAATGAGTGGAACAGGCAGTGCATGCAGTAAAATGCATTGAGAATATTTTACTGGTGCTTTACTCAGTCTGTAGCTGTTCTTGTATTTCTTTAACTGTTAACTACCTGAGGCGAGTTCATTTGTTCATAAGTTGTTGGAAGTATATTGATGTGTTGTCTCCATGTGTAATCACTGACTGTTTTGTTTTTTTCTTAGGACCAGTAATGGTAAAAGCACAGTGATCAATGCCATGCTGAGGGACCGCGTGCTGCCCAGCGGTATTGGCCACACCACAAACTGCTTCTTGAGTGTGGAGGGCACAGATGATGACAAGGCTTACCTCAAGACAGAGGGCTCAGATGAGGAGAAGAGCATCAAGGTCAGTAAATATTTTCATTTTGCTTGGAAGGTTTGCCTAATTGGCACTAGTGCTTTTTTTTTAATGAGCTTTGCCTTCTATTCACCTAAACTGCCTTTAATCAGTTGTCACCCAATTACACTGATACTGTATGTTGGGGGTTATGTTTTGCTTCCTTACATCCAGTATATGTCTTAAGTTTTGACTTGCACTGCAGTTAAAATGGCAGAGGTATTGTTATTGAGCTTAGAGTTTTTCTTTTTACTATTGTTGTTGTACTCAAATGGGTCACATGGCTGAGGATACAAACTGATTAGGTTTATTCCTCACCCAGATAACGGAGCCAAGTGTGTGTCAGAGTTCTTACTCCTCAACCAGTTGCATTAAAAGTTTTAGTAATTGGTACGCTTTTTTTTTGAGAGAGAGATTATTGTCGACATGTGTGAACTGAGCAAATGCTACCTATACCTGCAGACAGATATCTGTGAACTGTGACAGGTATGTAGGATGTTTACCACGGTGTCAGGTGTCTGAAATGAAAGCCTGATGTGGGAGACTCTCTCTTCACTGAGACCTCTGAACTGAATTAAGTTAACATGGGTTCAGCAGTTTAATCAGGTTTTTCTTTCTGCGGTTTTCTGTTGTCCTCTTGTATTTTAGGTGTATTGCTTCACATGGCAGTGTCTACAGTGCCAGAAGTTCATGTGGGTTTTCTTGTGCAATGAATAGTTATTAATACAGTTTCAATAAAACCTTAATATGAGTGGATACTGTAGGAGTACTGGTAGTGTAATATCTTTGAAACAAAAGTTACCTGATCACATCTTAATGTTGACTTACTAACTACCTAACTAGCTGTTATATTATTTTTATTTTTTACAAACTATGCCTATTAGTGTTAAACATGAAATAATCAAGTAGACAATCTTGTATACATCTTGAAAATATCGAAGTTGTCCTTTAAACATCATAAACAATGTAAAAAAAGAAAAAAAAAAAGTTGTTGACAAAACTTTTTGCCTAATTGAAAAATATAAAATAAACAGCCTTTCGCCCTAGTTGATTTAGAGATTTAAAAAAAGGGTTATTGTGGGGAAAAATGTCATTGCTTCAACAGATGTTTATGTAATTTAAAATTCATTACTTCAACAGTAATATGACATTAATATTTCCAAAAAGCCTTTAGGTTAACAAGAAGTCATTACATTAACGTCTGTGACATCAGTCTGTTTACAACCCCTCTGTAGACTGTAAACCAGCTGGCTCACGCCCTTCACATGGATGAGAGTCTGGATGCCGGCTGTCTTGTACGCGTCTTCTGGCCAAAGACCAAGTGTGCTCTGCTTCGAGACGACCTGGTGCTCGTAGACAGGTAACAGGATATGTTTATTGGGTCTGGAAATTCTATACAGGTTCTGAAATATGAATCATACACTTTCCAGGTCTTTAAAAAAAAGTTTGGTTAAAAAAAAAAGGCCTGTACTATGTACAGAAATTCAGTCCAGATGGGCGTATTATTTCACTTATTTTAAAGATGTTTGAAGATGATGCATTTGAACTTTTGACCCATCCACTCATTAGCCCAGGGACAGATGTCACATCACAACTGGACAGCTGGATTGACAAGTTTTGCCTGGATGCTGATGTCTTTGTGCTGGTGGCCAACTCTGAATCCACTCTCATGAACACGGTAATATCTTCTAAAGAATGGGCACAGGGGTTAAAGCCTCAGTGTAGTTTTGTTTGTGTGGTATTTCTCTACTATTTTGTCTTACCGGTAACTTAATGATCTTTTGCTGTAGAGAATAAGAAAATCAGTCTAAACCTTTTTCAATCTTTGTGATTTATATATATTTGGAAGACGGAATGATTTCATGTATATTTCTCATTTTATGGCTGTCAAATACGAGTATGGATAGTTTGGATGAGATGTTGCAATCTCTGCTTCCATAGCTCATTATCACCAAATACTCCTTTAACTGTCTCTTGGTGTCTACTCAAGGTGATGATAATAGAGTAATTTGACCACTTAAATTGTCCTGACTAACAACAACACACCACAATTACAAGTAAAGTAAGTTTTAAGTTATGTCAGTCACTTATACTAAAGGGACCAGTGTGGATGTTTTCTATGCTGAGCTGATTATAGAGCAGAGAATCCGGCTGCCTGTGTTTATATCCAGCCACACACAGGCCCCACTCTTGTTTCTGTCTGCTCAGGCATTCATGCAATGTGAAACTGGGCACACAGTCAATCACAGAGCTCCTTAACCCGGCAGCAGCTCTTAAGGGGAACGAAAACACACATTCTCCTCTGGGCTCTTCAAAGGAAATAAACCTAGGCATTATGTAAATAATGTAAGCTGGTCAAGTGGCAAAAATATGTCATGTGTCAGGTGTGCAAACTATGAAATTTTTTTAATCCATGTTGTCAACACCAACTTTGCTCAAATGAATGTCTGTGTTCCTGGATAAAACCAGACACTGGATATACAGTTCATAAATGTGGGTGCTGAATTGGCTAATGAGGAGTCCTTTCATTTCCATTGTGTCAAAACTAACATATATTTTGATCTAATTGAAAAGTTTGCTATTGTTAAATAGAAAAATGGAAAAATTGAAGTATTAAATGATGATTTTTCTACTCACAGTAACATGACTGACATCTTGTATGCTTCACTCTTCACTCGTTCACCTTCTAGGAAAAGCACTTTTTTCACAAAGTGAATGAACGCCTGTCAAAGCCAAACATCTTCATCCTCAACAACCGCTGGGACGCCTCAGCAAATGAACCAGAATACATGGAGGATGTGAGTCGGCCCTCTGTATCTGTCTCATGTCAGAAAGAGAAACGTTTTATTGTTACAGAATACTGTATGTGTCACCTCTCTCTCCAGGTGAGGAAGCAGCACACGGACCGTTGTGTCAACTTCCTGGTAGAGGAGTTGAAGGTTGTGGAGCGTGAGCAGGCACCCAACCGCATTTTCTTTGTCTCTGCCAAAGAGGTCCTCAACTCCCGCATGCAGCGTGCACAGGGCATGCCCGAAACAGGTGAGGAAACAGGAAACAGAAAGGTGATGCTTGATCTGTGTGTTCAAGGAACAAGATGGAGAAACAGTGTTGTAATTATTGTTTTTTGGGGGTTTTTTTTGTTTGTTTTTAACTTATTATTTTAATGGATAGAAAACACCAAACAGTATTCATGTTACAAAAAAATGAACAACAATACAAACAGTGATTTCAATGATAAAAAAATGAACCAAAAGTGATATTAAAAAAAGAATAATGTAGGATAAGGCTATACACTTATTGCTTTGCAGCAATGTAAAGTACTTTTCGTTTTATATGTACTGTGCTATTTCATCCAACAGGTGGCGCTCTGGCTGAGGGCTTCCAGGAGAGACTGAAGGAGTTCCAGAGCTTTGAGAGGAGGTTTGAGGTGTGTGTCTGTGTGCGTGTGCGTGTGCATGCATGCGTGTGTATGAGTGTGCTCTCCATGTCTTCCGATAATTTTATTCCCACTTCTCGGAGTGAAATCTATGTCCTGTCTCAATCCTGAGAGACAGATTTAGAAGAAAATTAAGCAATCATTTTAGCTATACGTTTGATTCCACACTAATACTGTAATCAGTGTAAAGTTGGATCAAGTCAAAAACAGCAGGTTACACGGATGACTAGGTCCAGCTGATAAACACTGTGGTTAGTGTATCATCAAGAGCTAAGCAAATCTCTTTGGCAATGTCTGGTTTGCTGCTGGTCAGATTGAGTTACTTCCAGAGAGAGTAGGGGAAATCACTATTATGAGAAATGAGGTTTTTTATTCATTCATTATGACCAAGAGATACAAATAGTGGCTGCTTTATCAGGCTGTGAGACTGAAGCTTACTTTATTTTTTCAGTT